GCGACCAACTTCTGGGACCCGTAGCTCAAGAACTAAGCTTACCTACCCTACCTACTAAAGCCCATTTTAAAGCCCTTTCGAAGGGCTTTCGGATGCTACCCTGAAACCCTGCAGGGTCCGATTTTTCAAAACTCCCCAGACCCCGGCACCCCCATATAACCCCTAAAACACCACTCCCCCGGGAGCAGAACACCTCTATAACTGTCCCACCCCAGTCAGACTCTGTCCCACCCTGGTGTCCCACCTCAGACGGACTGTGTCCCACCTCAGACAGACTGTGTCCCACCCACTCTGGGTGACTCATGTCACACACCCAGCAGCAACTGTCCCACCCAGCCACCATCCCAGCAGCTGGGACGCTTCAGGCACAGGTGGGACACGTGGTGCACATACCCACCATGTTCACCCCTGGGTTGTCCCACCCTGGCAGGGTGGGACAGTGGGACTCAGTCACACCTCCCCTTCACCATAGCACATTTACGTCTATAGCTCCCGAACGAAGCGAGACCCTGAGGTCTAAGTCGAACCACTGGACTCCAAATGACCTTCCAGACATGTTTCAACACACACCAAACCTCCACGTACCCTGTAGGTGCCAGGGCTGTCACATCCCGATGTGACAAAATCTTCCGAGGCCGATATCTCAGGAACCGCGCTTGACCCCGCGGAATGAATGACACCACTGGACTCGAAACGCAATTTCGCATACCCTGAGATGTTTGTTGGACCGAACCCCCATCGAGAATATGAGTCCCGGAATCCCACACCCACATATAATAACCCTTAAACTCCACACGTGTCCACACATGTCCACACATGTCCATACATGTTCACTGCACCAACATGCCTACTCATCACCAAAACATGTTTACAAACTGTTTGCATCACCACTTGAGTGTGGTCACCATCAGCTGTCCACAAGTCTCCACACAGTCTACAGTCTGTGTCCACTCTCACCCAGTGACTGATCTGTGGACAATTGTCCACGCATTGTCCACAGATTGTCCACAGATTGTCCACATAGAGGTACGGAGTGGGGCAGCAAATCTTTGACGCCCCGTAGCTCGCCGAGTTCCGACCCCCCTGGCCCGAAAGTACCACCAATGGACTCCTCTCGATCTACTCTATCTTCCCAGCACAAAAAAACACTACCCCCCCGGCGCCACACACCCTCTATAAGACCACCTTCCAAGGCTTGTGGGTACGGACTTATGCCCAAATACCCTGACAAATATAGTTCATGGGCGGCTCCTGACATCCCTGAAGACCCTGAGAGCACTAGGGTGACACCCGAAGGATTCTGGTGAGATACTCATACAAGGAAGTGAAAGTCAGTGAGTGACCTGACGCGACCAACTTCTGGGACCCGTAGCTCAAGAACTAAGCTTACCTACCCTACCTACTAAAGCCCATTTTAAAGCCCTTTCGAAGGGCTTTCGGATGATACCCTGAAACCCTGCAGGGTCCGATTTTTCAAAACTCCCCAGACCCCGGCACCCCCATATAACCCTATAAGTGGTATTCCAGCTCCTATACAAAGGAGAGGGGCAAGGACAAGGACAAGTAGATGAAGCCAGTCGTGGCAAGCATGATTCGTACAGGGGGGAAGGCCAGAGACAGTACCAACAACCCTATGCGATTCGGGCCCAGTCTCGCCAATCGGCCATTCTCTGAGGGATGGCAGTGCCAGATGGGTTTGATCGGCGATGTCTCCCTTGGCGAGGGTACCACAACCATGTTCAACGAAGCCAATGAGGCACTGCCCACTGCTTTTCACAGCCACGCAAACCTTGAGTATTGGCTTGTTACCCATTAAGAGCTGATTATCCACCACCTTGTGAAGCTATGGGGTGTGGGCCAGCTGTAGCCTTTCTTTTGGACCCAGGTACCACAGTAATACTGGCACTGGAGTGGCATAAGAACAAGTTATGCTGTCTTTGACTTCATCATGCAGCTCTGCAATCCTGTCCTCCTCAATCCCGACCCCCAAGATTGAATCCTGACATTCGCTGAGCTCAAGCATGCGCAGTGATGGACCCCCAGAATGTTCAGGCACTTGCACAACATCAGTGTGGCTCAGCAAGGCACCATCATGGTTACTTTAACCCAAGACAAGAAGAAGGTGACATTCATGGTGATCTCTCCCAGCAGTGATGAATCTGAGGACGAAGTGGACAATTCTGTTGCCTTCTCAGATGCCTGGGAGGGCGAGCTGTTCAGTGATGTCACTCAAGCCAATGCCATCCAGCTCATTGCGGAGGTACCTGGCTACGCATGGCCAGGCCAGCTAAAGTGCAGTGCGGTAAGGGCCTGTCATGTGGGTTGACGGGACTGGCGAAGTACAAAGTCCGAACAGGAATTGGAGGTGGAGTGGGAAAGATGTACCCCTGAGGGGTTGACCAGAACTGGTGTACAGGCCACCCTCAAAGGAACAGTGGAATCACAAGGATAACAGAATCGACACAGGTGACTGGTTGGGCTACAAGTCCTATATAGGTAACTGTAGACAGGGGCCTGATTGGTTGGACGACTGTGGGGCGAGCAGGTCGACCGACAGTGTCAGGCCCTGCACCATTCGGAAAGGCAGAGGCTGGGGAGTGGTTGAGCACAAAGGTGTCTGTACACTGGATGCCGCTCCATCACCCCGATGACTCGAAGTTGACAACTGTGATAGGCGTGCAATAGGACTATGAGACTATGACGGGGTGAGAATATGACAAGTATCAAGAATTGGGGGAAAAGATCCTAGATGTTGGTGTATATGTGACGATGTGATGTGAGCGGTGCCAACACAGGTACCGATCGGTACCGACGCTGTTATGAGTTGTGGTGCCTTTGCGATCGGGATGCATGGTTATCGTGTGGTGGCTGCCACATGGTTGGCACGTGTAGTCGGTGCTTGGTAGTCATTGTCGTTCGGATCGTCACACCACCAGGATCAATTGAGCTCCAGCTCCAACCGTACATAGATCCGCCTCGCTCCACCCTGAGTCTAGGGCGCTCCATACAGAGTAATACTGTGATAGGTGCAGGTGAGCATGCATGCACAGATGTGGAGGCAGGTGTCGGCAAATGGATGTGCAGGCGAGATGAACTAGCCCCGAAGGCCAGGGCCCAGGAACGGCGAGTGGAGGGTGCGGAGACCGCGCCCAACTTCCGTATTCAACTGGTGTGGAGCCCACAACATGTGCACCCATAAGATTCAACAATCCGCATCACGATGCCGAGTGACAGCAGTGCTTCTGGGCAGAGGAAAGCGTGAGTCATCGGGTGAGTGAAGCTGCTGACGGCAGATGCACATCCTGTCGCGCGCTCAAGGTATCGCAAAGCTCCACACAGCTAACCCCAGACGCGTTGTTTGCCCTCCAGCGGTCCGGAGGCGCCGTGCCTCCGTTGCGTGGGGCTAGGTCATGAATGCGTGTACAGCGCACTGAAGAGAGGGTGAGCCATTCCACTTCGGCGCTAAGCCAGTCCCCCAAAAGGCCGGAAGCGCGTTCCGCGGCTGGACAGACCGCGCAGCATACAGCCAAGCGCCGCGACGTGTACAAGCGAGGGCGTGCTCCCCACAGGGCGCGCGGCTGTCGACGACTCTCCGCCGCCCTCGTTTGCACAGGTTCTCTCGGCGGCATACTCGCCCGTTGCTTCCACTTCCACACTGCGACCAACGACCCAACCGCCCATCGCTTCCTTCTTCCCGAACGAGCTAGCCGCCGCGCCGTTGCGAGTAACCCTCGAGAGCTACTTCGAACCGGATGCCGCGCTCGACCCTACACCGCCGGCTGCAGCGTCATGGCTGGTGTACACGGATCCCGTCGCCGTGGGACTCATCTCGGAGCCTGAAGCCCAGTACCTCTTCAGAGAGTGGGTATCGAGCTATGTTAATGTGCTGAGGCAGGTTTATGGAGCGCGTCGCGCCGTTTGGGCACATCTTTGACCCCCTTTACCACACCTACGAGCGCGTGCGAGCCTCCCCGACACTGTTTGCGGCAGTAATTGCTGCTTCAGCCCGATTCTTCCACCCCAGTCTAGCAGAAATTACGCTCGACCTCGCGGAGACAAATATCGGACGCGCACTGCGCCGCGACGATATCGGCATCCCCCTTGTTCAAGCGCTGATGGTTCTGGTGTACTGGAAGTCAATAGCAGATCGCTCCGCATACCACAAGATCGGGCTGGCAATACGCCTGCTCGCGCAGCTTCGCATCTCATGGGACACCGACCGAGAGTTTACCAGCATCGAAGCAGAGCGTGCACAAGTGGACGCAGAACGCACGATGTCCAGTAAGCGGTGGTAAGAGCATGCTAATGCCAGTCGCATCCAGTGCGTCCAATCATGCCCGATACTGATGCCAGCCACCGAGTTCTCCTACAGCATTCTCCTGCGCCTCCCTTCACACAGTATCTCGGTTCCGGGCCACAGCGAGATGATGCGTTGGGCACAGCGTCACGCACACCTCGGCGTCCCAGGCGACATGTTCAAGGCGTTCCTGGCGGAGTTGTGGAGTTTCCACTTCAGCGAACGTGGTGACCTGTGGTTCCGATCGGCTGCAGAGTGGGAGGAGCGGCAGGCCGCGTGGGGCGCGGTCGTTAACAAGTGGCTGCAGAGTGGGCACATCCCGAGGGAGTATCGAGGGAACGCCGAGATGCTTGCGCAAGCTGGCACGATCAGCCGTGCGTTTTTGGGCCTTAAGCTCGGCTTTGGTACCGCGTCCGCGGTCCTCGACATCGCCGAGCCCTTTGCCGACCGGCTCAAAGAGATGCTCCGGCTCGGCGAACTTCTGTTTTACCCGGAATACGCTCTGAGCGGTGTCATGCTCCCCGCTGTGCTTGTCTATCACGTAAGCTGCCAGCTCTTCCTGCGACGGCTGAACTTTCGCTGACGATGGTCCCGTGCCGTCTTCTCGCCAGCGGAGCTCAGGCGCGCGCGCCAAATGGTCGGGGAGCTGCGCGCCGCATTCGACGACCTTCCGGAACGAGCGACACATGATCATGCCCTCCGTGGTGCGCAGCGCTCGCACCGCCGCCTGCATGACGCTCTTATAAGCTGGGGCGGCTCTGAGCCCGAAGACCAGATGGTCGGTCGCCTGCTCACCGGAGACTGACTCCAGCATGATCTCGACGCATTCCTCGCACAGATTGGCTTCATGTTTGGCGACGAGGCGGTGGGAATGTTGATGCATTCCGCAGACACTCCGCTTGCGGTGTAGCTCGGCTGGCCAACGACCAAACCACTGTCCGTCCAGACTCGCGCTGGACCCGATGGCTGTGATTGTCTGAGATCGTCTGAGTGACGACAGGCCCTGCCTCTCGGAGCGTAACTGAAGGCTACGAATGCACGAGAACTGCATTTAGTCAAGTAGGCTGCAGCATTTATGCATCCCGAGCCGCAGAATGAACTCACTGATTATGCATTGCCTGAATGCATCAGAGAACGGTCTAACATTGCCACTTCCTGCGATGTCTGTCTACACTATCATGTCCGTTTCTAGAAGCCAACATACCGCCAGTGAAGATCCAGCTGCTCCTGCGTAACACCATGCTTGCACGCCCGCAGAGCAGCGTCTCCACCCTCGTCAAGCAGCCGGTTCTGGTGGCGGACGTATACGCCATACAGCGTTATGACGACAGCAAACACGACGACGACAGCACACATGGTGCCGAACGCGGCGTAGTAGTGCGGCGGCGCGTAGTAGAGGTAGCTGGCCCAAATGTTGCTCGTGTTGCCGATCGAGTTCATGAGGGCGACACCGGCGGCGCGCTTCACGATCGGGCGTGGGCAGTGGAGGTTGAGTAGCTTGAAAAGAAGAATTTGCGGGGTGACGGCCGCCGCGGGCATTAGCATCATGGCAAAGTATCGGGCGCCTGTGTTGAGCGTCGCAATGGGTATGACGTATGTGCCGAGCGAGAGGGCGATGCAGCCCATGATGAATATGTAGATTTTGCCGGATTTCTGTCATTAACTTCGCAGAGACAGAGTGCGATGTGAAGGGGATTGGATCCGCCGCGTAACTCACATCACTGAAGTACGTTATAATCATGAAAAAGAACCCCGCGAAGATGTAAGGCGGGGCGGTGAGAAGAAGCGTGATGGTTTTGTCGAATCCGAGCGTTTGCACTAGCGAGGGGAAATAGTTTGTGACCGTGCCCGCCGCCTGCGCCATCATCTGCATGAAGATGAAGACGTACATCTGAGGTCAGCTAGTTTTGGAGCCTTGTGTCGCCTACTTTGGGATCTTTGAGCGCCATAGTGAATCCAGCCCAAGTGCCCGTGTCATCGTGGGCCTCGGCCGCCCCGGCCTCCAATTCAAGACGGTAGACCGCGAGGTCGCGCTCGACCTGGTTCAGGACGCGCGCATTATGCGGATATTCGGGGAGTATGAAGGCTGCGATGACACCGCTGCCTACGGTAGCCACACCCTCGCTATTGTGAGCCGCTGCGTCACAGGGTAAACACGTACACAATGAAGAGCCACCTCCAGCCGCGGATGCCGTGAACGCCATCGAGGGTGAGGACACCGGCAGCAATGAGGCCGCCGAAGGCGTTTCCAAGCTGCTGCGCCACAAAGAGGGCAGCGAGGCGCTTGCCGAGCTCCGCTTTGGTGTACCATGCGCTGAGGAAGTATACTACGCCCGAGAAAAAGACGGCTTCGGTGACGCCAAGGAGGACGCGGACGGCGAGGAGCGATGCGTAACTTTGCACGGCGGCGGTGCATGCGCTCACGCTCCCCCAAAGGACCACGGCGGAGCAGATGTCTAGGGGGTCAGCGCTGTTGCGAGCCTCCCTTACATAGTCCTGGGCGCGGCACGCGCGAAATGATGAGGTTGGAAGGCAATTGGAAGGGGATATATCCGACAAAAAGGATGGAGATGGCTGTGGCGAACTGCTGTGTGCTGAGGTTGAGATCTTCCATTATTCCCTGCAATTTTGCAACTGCCAGGTTCTGCCTGTCGATGTAGTTCAAGATGTAAAGTATACCGACGATGGGCAGGAGCACGAGATCGACTTTGCGGACGAGGCGGCGCTCGATGGCGCGCCGCTCTTCGTCGGACATGGCGACCAGGCTGTCGGGAATGGGGTTGTAGGCAGGTTCTGCTTCCGCAGGGTTCTTTTCGAGTGAAGGTCTGGACGTCATAGTTAGCCAAGAATTCTGGGGTAAGAGGGTCTGGGGTAAGGCAGTTTGGGTACCGTGAGTATAAGTAGCGCGGGGTCGAGCCAGCGGTGCCGGCGTTGCGGCAATGTTAGCGCCAATCTCGATGCTGGCTTTCCCCCATCGACAGCAGGACTGGCGAGGATGCCGGATACCGAGCTTAGTCGCCGCATGAGAAGTGGAAGGACATTGATGTGGACGGGCGGCTTCGGACAAAGGTCGTCTTCGGCTGTGCCTCGTCTGTGTGTGTTGTACCTGTGCAGCGCAGTGTTGAGCCAGCACAGTGTCGGCATCGGGGCAGTGATAGCGCTGATCTTTTCCCTGGTTCTCCGTCATCGACCGCAGGGCTAGCCAGGATGCCGGATCCCGAGCGTTTGTGGTCGCTGCAAGAGAGAAGTGGAAAGAAGTGGACGGGCGGCTTGGGAAAAGGTCAGCTCGGGTCGTGCCTAGCCTGTGAGTATGTTGTGTGAGACGGCTAAATTGGAAGGTTGCCGAATTCCGGGTGCTGAAGGGGTCACGTGGTGACCTTACTCCGTCGCCGACTCCGATGCTTTGTGCGGTGTTTTGGGAGGGATGGCGGCCCACCGGGACGGCCGAGTGCGGCCCCAGGCCGCACACAAGAACACGTGAACGCCGGTGTCACGGAGAGTTGGCAAGGCAAGCATGCCGGTACGAGGATTGAGCAGTACGATATTGGGCTGACGGTATAGTGAGAGTCGGCAGTGGATCAGCGGAGCTTGGCGAGGGTGTCATCTAATAAGTCGACCCGCCGCGTGGGCCCCCAGTAGCTGTTCCAAGGCATAATAAAAGCATACCTGCACAAAATGTGGGGCTCGCGGGTGGGAAACGTCCCCTGCAAGGTGCCTACGGCTCGGCCTGTGACCTTCATTTCACGAGCCCTACATGCCTTCTACACTCCGCTCCCACCCACCCGGCGGTGTCCGTCTTGACTGTGTGGGAGAGGGCGCGCGCGGCGTGGGAAGTAGGCCCCCGCAGGTCGACGCAGGTGATACGGTGGTATGTGGCGTGCGGCGTGTGAGTAGCGTGTCTTCGCCGCGCGAGAACTATCAACCTTGGTCAAGCACACCTGCGGCCATCGCGTCGAGCAAGTCTACACGGTGCACAATCAGAGATCGCAGATGGTAGGAGGAAATCTCGGAAAGCATAATGCGCAGTAACTTTTGATTGACGCCAAGAGATATGACGTTGGGCCCTGACTGCCCCGCACGTCGCATCTCGCGCAGATCCACATTGTCGCCGACCCGCAGTGGGCACCGCATAAAGGACGTCGTCTCATTCTGCTCGTTCTCACTCGCTTGCGGAACTCACCTGTCGCCACTCTAATGCGCGACCGCCCCCCCGCTTTCGTTTTCGCTCTCCTTGTCGCGGCGACGCTCTCCGCGGCCAAGTGCTCCAATGACATCCAGCCAGCGTACGACCACCCTGTGCCGGCGGCGGGCTGGTCGTGGCGTCTTATCGCAAACGGCCTAACCAAGCCGCGCAGTATCACGTTCGACTCTGCGGGCGCCCTCCTCGTCTTGGACGAGGGCGCGGGCATCAACCGCCTTGTGCTGCAGGACGACGGCGGGACGTGCCTGCGCGTGAAGGAGAAGACTGTCGTGGTCGCTGACACCGCTGTTCGTTATCACCGTGATGGGGATGGGCTGACGCAAGCTCGGGCATGGCCTGGCCCTTGCGGATGACGGGACACTGTATGCGTCGACGGACAACGACGTGTGGTCATGGGCCTACAATTCGGGCGCAGGCACTGTCGACACATCATCCAAGCGCACGGTCGTTACGAATATGACCAACTCGGGGCATACATCGCGCACGCTGATGTTGTCACGTGCATCGCCGGGGTGGCTTGTGGTGTCGCGCGGCAGTGAGGGCAATGATGATCCGCTCGCCCAGGTAGAGGCGAGCGGACACAGCCAGATCCGGGCGTTTGACGTCGGCGAGGCGCGGGACACACCGTACAACTTCCCCTCGGATGGGCGGCAGCTAGGGTGGGGATTGCGAAACAGCGTGGGCATCGCCGAGCATCCCGTCACCGGCGGCGTGTGGAGTGTCGAGAACAGCGTCGACAACCTCCAGCGCGCGGGGATTGATATCCACGTCGACAACCCTGGCGAAGAGCTCAACTACCACGGCTCGATTGCAAACATCGAGGGCGGCAACTACGGGTACCCAGTGTGCTATGCGCTGTGGTCAACGGACGCACCGTTCCCGTCCCTCGGCGACCTCACCACTGGCAGCCAATTCGCGCCCGACCGCCGAGGCAACCAGACATCGTCGAACGACACGACATGCAACTCAGAGTACAAGGCCCCGGAGCTCACATTCCAGGCTCACACGGCGCCGCTTGACATTGAGTTCGACAAGAACGGTTCAAACGCCTTCGTGTCTTTCCACGGCAGCTGTGAGTATCCATGTATTCGCCTTCCGCTGACGTAAGGGAACCGCCCCGAGAAGGTCGGGTACAGCGTCAACGTCATCGCATGGGATCCCGTATCGGGGCGGCCGCGCGCTGCGCGCGACTCCAAGGACGCGGCGGTGCCGGTGCTCAGCAACAAAGACCTGACCAAGTGTCCGCGCGGCTGCTTCCGGCCCGTGGGGTTGGCGTGGGGCAGCCAAGAACGCCTGTTCGTGGCCAGCGACACGACGGGAGAGATCTACGTGCTCGCCAACGACGGGGGCAAGGACAGCGGCGGCGCGCTTCTGATGCCTTCTATGACTGTACTAGCTGCCGCGCTGGTGTTGGGTTTGGTGCTGTAGATCACGGATGTGCAAATTGAGCGACGAGAGTAGCGTAATGCATACATGACTCGATGCTATTGCAGCTCGCCGCGCGCCATGCGCGCCCACCGCGCCGCCTTGTTCTGGTGATGCGCGTACTGGCTCGAACTTATGCCCTCGCGGTAGAACGTAAAGCCGAGGCGCTGGGCGACGGCAATGCTGGAGGTATTAGACGCTAGGCACTCCCAGTGCAGCGACTCGAAGCCGCGCTCAAATGCCCACTGCGCAACGAGGCGGGTGGCGCGAGTCGCGACTCCGCGTCCGCGGTACGCGGGCAACAGGTAGATGCCACCAATGTCGGCGGACTCGCCCCCTGGCAAGGGTGTGGGCGCGCTCGCCGTTGGGCTGCCAGGAAGCACCACAAAGCCCAGCTTGACCATGCCCATCAGCGGAGCGGCGTCGCTCTCGCGTATGGCCCAGAAATATCCCCCTGCGCCGGTTTGCGCGGAGCGGACATGCGCCTCGGCGTCAGCGCGTGTGTACGGCTGAGGGACGTTGAGTGAGGAAACGGCCTCGGTCTCGGTGCAGGCCTTGACAAGGTCGGGGATATCGGCGGGCGTCAGCGGCGTGAGCACGAAGGTGTCTCCTGCGAGCCGGGGGGCGGGGCCGTGCATCGAGAACTTTGAGGTCGGGGACAGAGGTTTGTAACGGTGCAAGTGAGAGAATTGCTTGGCGATGTTGATCTGTCAGGGACCGGCCATCCGAGACTAATCCGCAAAGCTCAAGGGCTTGCCTGAAGGACAGAGCTAAAGCGAATGTGAACCGTCCGCACGATGCAGCGAGCGGCCGCCATGCAAAACGCCTGATGCGGATCACCACCTGGACATGCTGCGGTGATGTCGTTGTTCAGCTGCATATGCTTTGCATATGTAGGGTGCGCACTCAGCACCTCGGCGTTCTTCACCTCGGTTGCGGTGGTGCCGAAGATGCCGGCGGTCAGCACGGTGGCCGAGGTGCGGAGGGCTGCGGAAGAGATGCCGATGGACATGCCTGAGATCTGCCAACATTCGGCGGCGAGAATACACCGCGGCGGCAGGGGTCGCCGTGGAGCCCGTCGGGCATCTGACGGTCTGCAGACCGCAGATGCAAATCACGGACGCGAAGCAACCCCGCCAGTTCGAGACCACCGTAAGCCTATGCGGCAGATTACCAAGAAGGCCGTGGAACCTCACATCGATCAGTCCGTCCCGTGATTGTGACCATAAATACCCATGCCCTGTCGTCATGTCCTCTCCATGTAATTTCCCACCCAAATATCCCACTCTCAATGACAAGGACGGACTCGATGGATTCGAAGAACTCGACAATGCAGGCGGTGGCGTACACGGCCTACGGCGGGCCGGAAGTGATGCAGCTCGTCTCTGCACCGGTCCCCGTGCCGCGCGCCGGCGAGGTGCTGGTGCGCGTAGCCGCAGGCGGGCTGAACCCGGTGGACAAGCTGCAGCGCGCCGGGATGTTCAAGGCGTTCATGCCGTTCTCTTTCCCCGCGATCGGGGGCAACGAGTTCTCAGGCACTGTCGCGGGCCTTGGGGAGGGAGTGACGCGCTTCAGCGTTGGCGACGCGGTGATCTGCCGCGTGACCAAGACGGAGATGCGCGCGCTGGCAGAGTACACAACCATGCCAGCGGACATTTGCGCACCGGCGCCCAAGTCGGTCCCGCTCACCACCGCCGCAGGCCTCCCACTTGCCGGGCTCACGGCCGAGCAGTGTCTCGACCACCTGGATGTCCAGGCCGGCGAGCGGCTCCTCGTCACAGGTGGGGCAGGGGGCGTGGGTCAATTCGCGATCCAGCTCGCCAAGCTACGCGGCGCACATGTTTCTACGACAGCAAGCGATGCCGGCCGCCCATTCGTTCTCAAGGCAGGTGCCGACGAAGTTATCAACTATCATACGACCAAGCTTGCGGACCTGCCGCAGAAATTCGACAAGGTGCTGGACGCGGCGGGCGGCGACGACGCGCTTATGTATGATGTCGTGCCCTCTGTTCGCGAGGGCGGGCGCATCATCTCCGTGGCCGGCCCACCTACCCCGGGATGCCTCGACGGCCTCATGTCCTGGTGGATGCGTCCGGCGGTCAACGTGCTTCTGTGGACCAAATCGCGCGCGCTTGTCAATGCCGCTGCCGCCGTGGGCGTCGAGTACAAGTATATATTCATGGTCCCGAACGGCGAGCAGTTGGCGCACCTGGCCGCCCTCGTTGACCAGGGCAAGCTCGCGATCACGGTCGACTCGCGCTTCAAGATGGCAGAGTTCAAGCAAGCGTTTGAGCGCCTCGAGAGCGGGCGGTCGAAGGGCAAAGTCATTGTCGAGTTTGCCGGCGACCAGTAGGGAGCGAGTGTAGCTATACCAAGATGTACCGTATGAACGATCGTGAGATGGGACGGGCGGCTGGAAGTCGGATGACAGAGAGCATCGAGTCGCTTGCTGAGAGCCTCAAGGTCATGATTGGACAAATGGTACCATCCTGCGACTCATTGAACCATGTGAGGAGAAGCCGGGGAAAAAGTGATGTACAGATGTGCCAGTTTAGTCGTCACCACCACCTGAAACTAATGGCTCATGCACCCAGCACCAGAATGCCTGTTACGGCTGGACGATGCCAATCTGCAGAGCAGCCAAGATTGCGAGCACACACTCTTGCTCGATTGCTCATGGCTCACCCCTCGTCATCGCGGGTCCTCCCACATCGATCCTACACCCACCCCTCTCCGAGGCAAGGCCGAAACACTGGCCGGGCGCATCGCCGATCGCCGATCGCGGAGTCATGCGTCACCCGATCTCGCCTGATCTGTAAACCCCGCCGCGCCCTTTCCTTCCTCCACGAGTACCTCACGGATTGCTGCGCTGCGCGTACATGCGCGTTGATGGCCGAACCGATCCGTAGAACCACACTTGTGCACCGCTGCATCAAGCCCGACGCCCCGATTCACCAGCCACAAGCCATGATCACGAGGAGCAGAAAGGACAACAACGCTGCGCTCGAGCCCCTGCTGTGCCTCGCACTGTCCAATAGTCCAGACCCGTGCAGCGAGCGCATGTGCGAGCCGCACCGCCTGCGGATCCGGCCGTCGCCGGGCAGGTCGGACACGACGCGTAGCGCGTAGCGCAACGTTCCGCGTGGTGCGAGCACAGCCCTTGTAGGTGGCATGGGTGGGGAACATGGGGTGGAGCGAGTGAGGCTTGTGGATAAACGGACAGTTGCGGTGCTGGATCTGGAGCGGGGTAGGGATGGTCCGCATGCCCCGAGCGGAATGCGGGTAGTGCCGTTGGAGCGATTCCGACCGTGGTAAGAGTTTGAATGGGCGAGCATGATGGGCGGGGATGCACAAATGCGTATGCTTGGCGTCTTGGCGTGTGGATCTCAGAAAGTGAGGGGGGCAGATTGACCAGGTGGAGATCGGGGTGAGTGGGTTGTTGGCGATGCCGAACGGCGGAAGGCGCAGGGGGGCGGCACGGTCCTCAGCCACCACAGAGCGGAAAGAGCGAAGTTCTCGCCTCCGAGCAGGTAGCGAACAAGCCACGCATGATCGCCGCTAGATTGATGCTGCTGCTCCCTCTGGCCTCGAGCACCTCTCCCACGACAACGATTCCTCGCGTACTAATTATCTAGCTCGATCCAAGGGCTCCGTCATACTCTCATCTCTGATCCTTCTTTCTCTCTAGATCTCTCTATCAAATACCTTCAGCCTCCTACATCAACAGCACACCCCCCTCGTATCTACTGTCCACCCATCATTATGCTCATTACCACCCTCGCCCTCCCCCTTCTACCCGCTGCGGCGGCGGTCGTCCATGTACAGCTCACTCGCCGCGCCGTGATCCCGCAGTCCCTCGGCGCCATCAACACAGACGTTGGCAGTGGCTACTCGTTCCCCATCGCGCTTGGGTAGGTCAAACTCGTCATCTCCCACGCTCACACCAGCACGCCGCCGCAGAACCTCTCCGTCTTCCTCGGCCTCGGCTCGGGTAATGGTCTCACCATGTTCGGGTGCAACGACTGCCCCGATACGCCATTTTACCAGCCGAAGCGCAGCAGCACCTGGAACAAGACGGAAAACACCAACGGGCCCTTTGCTGTGGCATTTGACACCGCCCATCTGCTGGGCAACTTGATCCCGGGCGCGCCCTGCGGTGAGTCCTACTCCTTGCCTTGCCGACGTACACAACGCCTCGCGAGTTTGACGCCCCCCGCCCCCTCGCATGCTCGACCAATATCCCGTCTGCCGTCGGTAGCCCTCCTTCCTCCCACTGACCCCAGCCTACGGAAACTCGAGCTCTGCGACGCAACAGTACGGCGCCAAGACGCGGCAGGCGGGCCAGCTGTCCTTTGGGCTGGGCCTGACTGCCGATCCGAAGATCCAAGCCGTGATCCCCGCCCTCGCGCCGGGGTGGGACGAGCCCGTCTTCGGTGTGCACCTGGGCGCGAGCGGGGGCCAGCTCTCGCTGGGCGGCGTCGACAAAACCCTCTTCTCCGGCGACCTCGTCTACGTACCGACGGTGAACAACCGGACGTGGAACTTTGCCGCTGACGCGGACGGGCTGCGCATTGATGGCGCCGCCATCGATGCGGCTGCCTACCTCGCCTCGCAGGCGGCGGCAATGGCGCAGCCCGGCGCCGCCGCTCCCCAGGCAGACGAGCAGACCCGCCGCCTGGTTATCCGCCCTGAGATGGGCGCCGACTTCATGCAGATTACGCCGCAGCTCGCCGAGAAGCTCTTTGCGCCGATCGCAGGTGCGCAGCGCACGCAGGCTGTCCAGGCCGAGGCAACCGAGCCCGACGTACGCAGGAGCACCGGCATGCCCTCGATCGCCGGGTACGGGTACGATGTTCCGTGCAACACGAGCGCAAACATCTCGCTGCGCGTCAACGGCAGCGACTGGACAATTCCCGCCGCAAAGTGGGTCGTCCCCTCCGGCACTGGCGCACAGGGCATGTGCAAGACCCGTGTGCGTGTTGCCCAGGACGAGGGCGGGTTCCGCGATGAGCTGTACGACGTGCTTGTGGGCTCCCTCTTCCTCGACTCCATCTACTCGGCTTACCGTTACGACGCGGCGCAGCCGCAGATCGGCTTCGCCCAGCTCTCGGACAAGGCCAAGGATGCGGCGACGTCGAGCGCTGCGGTCGCCCAGCCTACTGCGTCGGGGAAGAGCGGGGCGGTGCGCAAATCCGCCGGCGCCGGTCTTCTCGCGGCCGCTGTGGCGGTGGCTGCTCTCACTGTGTAGGTCCCGGGGCCTTGCTCCCTCGCCCCTAGCCCTGTCCCGCTCGGTAATGGAAATGTACACAAAGCTAAGCAGTCGGGAATATAACACATGCATATAGGTGTGTAGAAGGTGGATAAGTGGATGAGTGGATTCGTGAAGTTTGGAGGCGAGGATAGACTTGGCCACATACGATCCACCACCTCGCTCAACTAACCCAAAACACACCTCGTCCACCCTTTGTCGCCTCGTTCCGAGCACTGCATACAACATTTCCGTGGCTGGGCGTCTGCCCTCGGCGCAGTTCATCTCTATCGTAGATATCTCTCCATCTATAGATCGTCGTCGTCCAGCACTCCCATCGTCGTCCAGCGCACCCTTCAACCATCACACCAAGCCAGACCCGCTGACTCCGCGCCTACTCAAACCCAGACCACACCAACGCCTTATTTACCAACTCGCCGTTCGGAAGGTCACGGGACGACGCGTTTGAGCGCTCCACCGCGTCCTCAACCGCGAACGCGATCTTGTCGAGCGCGCGGATCTCGCGGTCCGGAAGTCCTGCGAGGCGCAGGATTGCGAGTGCCTGTGAGTGTCCTCCGCTGTGCTCGGAGCGTACGCGGTCGAGGGCCGACACAATGGGCGAGACGGTCGGCGACGGCTGGTGTCAGCCTGTGCGTACGAAAACTCACGGTGATTAGCTCGGCGAGAAAAGTACGGATCACGCCAGCAAGATTGATGCGAACGTCCTGCCGCTTCGCCCATGTGTCGATCGTGTTCAGCGACTCTTGTACTCGCTGGTCTGCCGTCAGTTTTGCACGCATCTCCGAGGCGGCTCACAGGCCTGCCGGTGCCCGGCGGTATAACCGTCATTGCGCAGTTTTAGGAGGTGGTGCAGGACGGCGACGTAGACTTCGGCCAGATAGGCGAGGGCAATGGCGCGCCAGAGCGTGAGTGTAAGGCCGGCACGAACGCATGTAGAGCGCGTACGCTCGAGCACGTCGATGATTTTGGGCTCGGTTGCGAAAACCTCCTGTGCAAGCTTGGAGGAGTGCCGCTGCACGGTCGTCATCAGGTGGCGGTTGAGGACGTCGCGCAGCACATTGACGTTTGACCTCACGCGTGTGTGCGCCGACACGGCAGTGCCGCGTGCCTCGGCAAACTTGCCAGAGAAATTGGACATGGGCGCAGTGGTGGGCGGCGCGGTCAGCTCAGCGAGCATCGCGCTTTGCAGGAACCCTTCGATCATGCCTGCTGTCGAGAGGGCTTCGTCGAGGCGCAGAGCAGAGAGGCGGCTGCCAGTGGCATCATTGCCGACGGCGGAGAGGAAGGCGCCAGCCAGGAGAAGCATCGGCGTTGCCATGCGTCTCTCGCCTAGGCGAGTATGTATGAGGCCAAAGAGGCGGCCAGTTGCGACACCGGTCGAGAATGTCTCTGGGCTAGCAAGAGTTTGGGCCAGCGGCGGCAGGAACGACGCCCACTGTATTCTAGGGCGCGCGCGGGACAGAACGCCGTTGGTGCCATGTCCATGCTCAGAGTCGTTGTCAAAGTCGTCGCCGTGCACGCTCGTGTCGATGACCAAGCTCGCCTTGTGCTTGAGGTCCTGGCGGGGCTTGGGATCGATGGATCTAGTACGCGAGTTGGCTCTTTCAGCGCCGCGCCGGTCGCCATCCGGCAAAAAGTCCTTGCCACCAGCCTTGAGCGAGTCGCGTTCCTTGTCAGACATGATCTCGGTGTCAAAGCTTATCCGTCTGGCGCCAACACGTGACTGGCTGCGGGATTGAGAGCCGTCCTTTAACGCCGAGGGCATGGATGAGGGGGGTGCGGGCATGCTCGAGCGCCTCGTAGTTATGCCGCTGCGAGAGACGGGTGGGGTGCTCGTTGTTTTGTGCATGGTAGGTGTGGGGTCGTTGAGCTTGGAATTGGCGTTGAGGTTTAGGAAGGCGGCCATCCGGGCGTTCTCCGCTGGTCCGGCGGTGTGGTTTGAGGTCTGTGCGGACGGCTGCGTCGAGGCTTGTGCCGCAGAGTGGGCTGGCCGGGGACTTGAGACGGGAAGAGGAGCTGGTGTCGACGCTGAGGCGGCTGGTGCGGGAGCCACAGCGGGAGCTGCTGCCACACTTGCCGAAGGTACGACCGAAGCGGGCGCTGGGGCCTTGGGCTTGGCGGCCGGGGATGAGTTTTTGCTCGAGGGGGGAGTTTGCTCCCATTTTCTCGCACTCGTTGCTTTGTCGGGCGATGTCGCCGGGGTGCGGAAGGGGGTGGGCAAGACTTGGTCTCCGACTGCGGGCGGCACGCCCATGAGGCCGCGGATCATGCGGAGGATATCCTGGGATCAGCGATGTGGCTGGAATTGCATGATCGGGGATCGGGGATGGGAGATGGCTCAGCGATCAAGCGATTGTGCGGAGGATGGGAACGAGCTCGGCAGCAGGCTGCGCAAATTGGGCGCGCGCCCCGAGTCGCACTTCCGTCTAGGCTTGCCCCAATTCGCGTTCACACCGATCAAAGCCTATCTCCATCTCCACTCACAATCGCAGCGATCCCATTATCCTGTAGGAGCAGCAAACTCTCGATCGCGGTTGCCGGACACGGCCGCTCGGGATGGGCAATGGCAAAGGTGCAGCGCACGGCTGTATCGGCGCCCGAGGAGCACGAGGACACGGAGGGAAGGTGACCCTCATCAGAGTGTTCTGTGGGGGGCTCGCGGGTGTCGTCGGGGGACGAGGGCTCTCTGTTGGGTCGGGGCCTTGGTCGCGCGAGCATGGGGGGCTGCTGGTGAAGCGTGAGCTGGGCTGTAGAGGGGCACGTACCTCGGCAACGCTGGGGCTGGGGCTCGGACTGGTGCTGATGCTGGGGCGTGTGGTGCGGGGTGGCTGTGTGCGGAGTGGGCGGGCGGAGGAGAGGGGGCGGGGGGAGATGGGAGGGGAGGGGGTTTGAGTGTGGGTGTGGGCGGGGGTGGGGGTGGGAGAAGAGAAGGAGGAGGGCTGGCGTTAGCTGGGATTGGAGAGGGGGGCGTGCGTTTAGTGTTGAGTGAGAGGTGAAGAGCGATGAGCCGGAAGCGGAGGCGGTGATGGCCGGGGCCGGAGTTGGGGTTGTGGTTGGACTTGGATTCGAGGCCGTGGCCGTTGAGACGGCGGCCATGGTGTGCAGGGTATGAGCGTGAGAGAATGAGTGAGTGTGAGTATAAGATGAAGTGAGAGGATGTGATGTGAGAAGAGAGAAAAAGATGGAGAGGAGAGGAGCGAGGAGGAGGAGTGAGGAGGAACGAGTAAGGAGAGGGATTAATGGTCTGTGCCCCGCATGCCCCGATGATTATTTGCATGATGGCCTTGATGCACGATGGATGAGCTCGGATCGCCAGTCACGCCGCGATGTGGATGGGGCCCGGGGATCCGGGGAATCGGGCCTCGGGGGATGAGGGATGAGGGCAATGGTAACGCTCAGTTCATCTGTCCCAACAACCCCGTGGCGTCAAGGGCTCGGGGGGGTGGGGTGTTGGGGTCTTTGGTGTCGTTCGTCATTGATTGCTAGCTGCTGGTCGTCATCTGGAACAACCTCAAGGTTAGAGGAGGCTGTCATGGCGCAAGGTGATGGAAAGAAGCAAGAGTACAGTAGATGGTTGGCATGTAACGCAGAGTACGCAGAGTAAAGAGACGGATGTGGAAGGTTGGCAGTAGAGTCAAGCCAGTAGTAGTGACGTAGAGAGCTGGTGGAGGGGAGGGGAACAGATAGCGATAAGCGCGAGAGGTACCATCCGAGGTACAGCGGTACAACCAAGGGAGACGGGAAAAGGACGAGCCGGAGGAGGAGCCGGAGGAGGAGGGGGGCAGAGGGACACTACTGATGGTAAATGGAGCCGGACAAGTGCGACTCTGCCCCAGTGCCCCGGTCCGACATAGGGTTGTGCAGCATACCTAGAGTAGCAGCGTGACATCCAGTCTCCTACTGCCTCCTCTCCTCCTGCTCTTATGCCTCCACTGCATCCCCTCCCCCCCCCCGGCCGGCGCACCAGGTCCAGCCGAGCCCCGCCAGCCGCGAGCCAAGAGCCGGACACGCAACTCTTTGAGGCGGTGCACAGACATCCCGACGGCGTGGGCATGGCCGCATGCCCCCGCATGGCACGCACGGGGCATTCCTTCTCCGCAGCAGGGCGAGATGCGCTCGGTTACGCAGATCCCGCGCACGGTCTGGGCGCTGGGTGCGAGCGTGGCTGGCGTACATGGCGTGCATGGCGTGGGGAAGACATGCATGGGTCATGCGATCATGCGATCATGCGAGGTGGCCATGCGGCCATGCGGCCATGCAGGTCATAGTTCCATCTAGCCCACAGATGACTGATGGCTGATGGGCATGATGGGATACGATGCGATAGACGAATAACAGGCGTCCGATCACTGATCTCTGATCATTGGATCATCATGAAGATCATGAACGAGTGGCGAGCACAGCAACGCCAGCCACGCCGTGTGCCTTGGTCAACAATGGCCTGTACAGTAGTTGCTTGCTGCCTGCTAGCTGGCTGCTGGCTGCTGGCTGCTCGACTGGAGACGTGGGATAATGGACAAGGCACAGAGTGGAACAGAGGCACATGATGTCTGTTGCCAAGCACTCTCACGGTGGATATTGACAAGGCGCTTTGTAGACCATATGCGCCATGGGCCATGGGCCACGGATCCACGGAGAAGGAATGATTTAATGATATGTGTACGAGTACGAGTACACGAGTACACGAGGACGCGAGGACGCGAGGACGTAGGACATGGGACATGCCGTGCACGCCCGCGTCTGCTGAATCCCACGCCAATCAGAAGAAACTCAATAGCCAATTGGCCACGAGCCAATGAGGCGCTCATGAAAAGGGCGTGAATGGGCGTTTCAAGCTTTCAAGGTTGGGTCGGTGTGTGCAGTTGTTCGACTTGGCAGGGATTAGTCGGATGATATGATCAGCGCATGACCTTTTCTGGCCTTGACCTCATGACCACTCCTTAACTCCTTGCCACCAATCCCACCACCCCCTGGAGCTTGAAACTTGGCCAAGTACACTGTGTACGCGGATTTGAGCGCCAAGAGCTCCACCATGTCCTCGTACACCACACTTGTCGTCGTCGTCATTGTTCTCCCCCTCTCCTCCTCCTCTCCGCTCTCCGTCGCACCGTCCGTCGTCGCCCTCGTCGTGACCTCCTTCCTACCCTCCTCTTTCCCTCTTCGTCCCATAAGGCCTCGGCCGCCGATGCCGTCTCCCAGCGCCCACGTCAGGGCAACTCCCCCGCAGGCCACCTTGCTTGTTGTTAGTTCTTCCTGCGTTTTAAATGCAGCCATTAGATGACCAGATGGCCAGCCTGTGGCCTGTGGACCAACTACCAACAGTCTGTGACACACCCCGCCCTCAAAGCCATCTGCAAACGCAGCGTCCGTCATACCATACATATAGTAGTAAAGACCTTGCGTGGCCACAATTATCAAACGCGGGCGCAACGCAGTGTTGCAACATGCTACGTCCATTTAGAACAGAGTCATCACGAGCGCACCGGCGCCGACAACAGCACCGAGCGAGGCAACAATCTTGCCAGCACCTGAACTGCCAGACGCAGCGGGGGAGCTAGCACCGGTGCCAGCAGCGGTGCCGGCCGACGAAGCAGGAGCCGAGGGGATCGCAGTGCCCGAGGCAGCGACACCACCGCCCGACATGGTCTGGCCAGCACCCTCAGGGAGAGGAGCGGGAAGAGTGCCGTTGCGCTTGATCCAGAAGCCGCGGGTCTGGCCAATCTTGCGAGTGGGGTCGTTGGTAAGGGCAAGCACGAGAATGTAGTTGTTGCCCGTGGCGAAGCCCGAGATCATGCCTGTCCAAGTACCAGTGCCGGCGGGGACTAAGGGTTAGGTGGTTTCCAAGCGGACAAGATAGGCAGAAAAAAAATACTCACTGTTCTCCGCAACAGTGCGCTGCTCGGTAAGAAGAGACGTGTTCGAGTTGAAGATGACAAGGTTGACGGCCTGCTGGTAGGGGGTCCAGATGGCAGTGTTCTCGGCCTCGTTGACCCCTTGGCGTGTTAGCATGAATACATTCCCTGCTCCCTGCCGCCGAGACCCGCGGGGTGACAAAATAGTTCTGGCGGCCATGGCGGACACTTGGCACCCAAAACTATCCCGGGATAACCAACAACGTCGCGCGGGACAAAGGCTACGCCCTACTCACAGTAAGTTTCGGTGTTCGGGACGGTGAAGTTGGCGGCCACCCAGTCGCCAGTGGTGTTCTGGAAGCCGTGGCCAGTGTTCTCGGTGTTGCCGCCGATCGAGCCACCGGTACGGGTGGTAGTAGAGGGGGCGGGGGCAGGAGCGGAGCCAGCAGCGGGGTCAGCGGCGGGGGTCGTCTCGGCGGCAGGAGCGGCGCCGGCGTCAGTCTGGGCAGCGGCGTCCGAGGGGGCGCCCTGTGCCTCCTGCGCGGTGACGAAGGGGATGGCGAAAAGAGCGACGAGGAGCTTGTGGTAAAGCATTGTGGGTGGTGGGAGATGAGGGATGAGAAACAGAGAAACAGAGAAAGATAGAAAGAGGAGAAGAGTAAGAGAGATGGGAAGGGAGGATGGCGGGTGGGTAGAAAAGGCGAGGTGTTGGGTGACGAGGAAGGTGGGCGGGCGACCAAGACCTAAGCAAGACAACCGCGCGGCTTGGGCAAATGGAGGGGGGGAGAAGGGGGGGGGGGGGGGAAGGAAATAGACTAATCGCCAGGGATGAGAAGGAGATCGGAAGTGCAATCAGGTCAATCAGGGCAATCAGGGTCACAGCGGGTAATGCTGCTGCCAAGAAACTAAACCCGACTTCAAACATGTCGAGGGATCGCGAGGGGATCGCGAGGGGAGCCAGCTTGCAGCTCAGACAGCGCTGACCTCACCGCCCTTCGAGACGCTCCCGCCTTGCATGCAAACACTCTTCATGCTCTTGGATGCGTGCGCACAAGTATACTGGGCAGGTACTGGAGACGTGTCAACAGTCATGTTTGGGTTCAGAGGTCGCCTCGACGGGTGTAAGCGAGGCGTAAACTGCGCCTGATTGAAATGACCACATGCCCGCTCTGTGGACGCGACGCGACCCGCCCGTGGTAACTGCCGTCCGGCTCTCCCCCACTCTGGCCACTCTACCATCAAGTCATCCATTCACTGTTGCTGATCGCTCCGTCCCACCTAACCCATGCCCAGAGTGCATGCGCGCATGCATCACAACAAGCAGAGCAGTGGCTGGCGTCGTGCGGCCCAATACTGGCTACTTTATGCACGACTGCGCACTCGTTCTGTTTTCTGCATCTCGCGCCTCAAGGTCCAGGAACGGCATGGAGGGCCAGGCACATCCCCAGAGCACGCACGCTGCACGCTGTCTCTCACCGGGCCTGCCGCGCTGCCGTTCCCCGTCCCCGCGCACACGTGACACTGACTATCTTGGCTCGATTCTCACGCTCACGCTTCTAGCTTTGGGTTATAGCCCATAGCATGCGTCATGGCGGAGATGGCATGATGGCAAACTGGGCGTGGGTGTGGGTGTGGGCGGAGACTCGTTGGCTCGTGGGAGCGGTATGACATGGTGGCATGGATCTTTGTTGAAGAATGCGATGGATGTTGCCGCATAGAACGGCGGAATTGGCGGCCATCAAGTGTCGTCGATCCGTCGACAGTGAATGCACCCTTCCCTCCGCTGCTATATCGAGCGTCTTGGACGCTTGGGTGCGGGGTGCATGCGCCCAGCGCCACCAAGGGAGAGCCATGAACCATGAACCATGAACAAACGGTTCAAATGTGGCCACGGAGGGGGCCGCGAAAATACCCCACGGCGCAGGGTCAAAGAGGGTGCACACAACCCTTTCAGAATTTCAGACGCGTCGCGGGACTCGATTCACGCGCGCGCACGCGTGATGCGTTATGCGTGATGCTGATGCTGTAGGTTGTGACCATGACGATCGAGCACGAGAAGGACAGAGATGGGCCATGTTAACATGTTAACTTGTTTGGTGTGTCAGCCGGCTTGGCTGGCCTTGGGTCAGGCCAGGGACATAGAGGAGACGGTCGGCTGATCGGCTGATAGTCAGCAAGTCAGGCGCGTCAGACATGACAGACGCAAACAGATCGGCCTCGCTCGATCGCTCTTGCAAACGCTCGTGATAACACTCGTGATATAATGCGACAAGTAGCTACATCATGCATCAGCTCTGCGCAGATGAGGTTACTCGCCGATCAACAGATCGGGCCATGACGCTGCCGTATAGCCTTGCCAGCAATCTGGCTTCCACCTGGAAGCTCGCAGCTCGTCACACATCTGGCCTAAGCGAAGCCACTCGATCTACATGGGCCATTGGAGAGCGCGCCAGCGTTATCCGCCCGAACAACCCCTGTCTGATCCTGTCCACCTCCATACACGCTCGCAAAAGCCGCACACATCGCCGAGCAGGCCAAAAACCCAAACCGACCCCTGCTCCTTATCTCGGCCGCCCTTCTCCTGATCTTCAGCACAGCTCTACGGCCTCGAGCTACTCCCAAAAACTCCCAACACACAGTCACGAAGCCAGCGCACGCTTCCCACAGCCTCGCATGCATGCACGGCAAAAGATGTTGCCTCCGGAGAGGATTGAACTCCCGACCTCACCCTCGTTCTACGAAAGGCGCGCTCTACCACTGAGCTACACAGGCCCGTGTAGATTAGTTCCAGTGGCGCCTGGACAGCGGCCCCCGCGGGGCCGACACATCTGGGCGCGTCGACACAGCGGGAGTGGGACGGGGATGAGGAGGTCCGGAAGGAAAGGCAGGATGGAACAGGGCAGACGAGAGATTATCGAACAGAGAAGCGGTCACATTTAGGAGAACCTAGAAGCGATAGCCTGCGGCTATCCAGGGCGCGGAGATGTTCTGTGATAAGATGGCGCAATTCGGTCTGATAGTCTTTGGACTGCATGGACTGATGACTGAGGCCCAACGGTGGAACCAAACAGCGGGGCAGCATTGCTCCGCCGTCCAACACAACACCACGTGGCCCGACGTTAATCTTCCGTCTCGGCCTGTGGCCTTCCTTCGTTCTTCATCCCACGCCCCGTCGACCCATTTGCTCCTCCCTCTCATGGCCACCAAGATCACCCTGTAGCCACCGCGGGCTCGAGTGTGGCCTGCGGACGCACAGCTCGGCATGTCCCGTCACGAGCCCTGTCGGGACCCATCGTTTCCGACACAGCAAGTCTGTGCGAAAGGTCAGCATGGCGGCCATCACTCGGTCCTACCGAGATGACCGAAGCTGCCCCCTCATCCCCCAGACAGTTGGTTCAGAGGAGATAGGTGATCCTACGTGCGTGTGGGCCGCAGTCATCGACTTCGGACCCCTTGCGGGCTGAACTAGTGCATAATCTAGGCACGATGCGGCCGCAGGGCGGGTGACTTCCGTTGGTCCATGGACTCAAGCGACTGGTGTGACTGCGCCGCGCCATGCCATTAATATAGTGGCCAAGCGCATCCGAACGCCTCGTAGTGGGTGGCACCGACATGTTGACCATCCATCCTGGGCGGAAGGAGGGTGTCCCTGCTGTTGGCAGAGCAGAGCGTAGGCGGGGTACTCAGCCACCATCCGCGGAGCTCGCCGCGCCTTTGGAATGATCCGTGGCGACAATGCAGTGTGTAGAAAGGATGCATCGAGACACGGCGAGCTAGTAATGTAAAGTACTGTCTGCATCTGTCAAGCATGTTCAACATCATGGTCCCATGCAGGACGCGCCACGAGCTCCGAGATTGATGCATCCACCGGCCCGGCGAAGGCCGACGGCGACCGCTGAATACCGGCTACCTCCAACCCTCCAACCGAGCCACTTCATAAATCAGCGCCCACCTACATCCCTCCCCCTCATCCTCTCTTCACTGCTCATTCCCAACACCATGTCCTTCTACGTCATTGCAAGCATGCGCGCCGTGTCGGCGCAGGCGGCCGACGAGCTCGCCGTTCGTGAGTACCTCCGCGGCGTCCACCCTAACTCCAGTCTTCACCGCTTGCCGTGAGCACGCGGAGAAGCACGAGCCCGGAACTCTCCAGTACCAGCCTGTGCGCGACATGCAGGACCCTCTCAAGTTCAAGGTGTTTGAGCAGTACGCCGGCCCCGAGGCCGTGGCTGGTGAGTGTTGGAGGTTGGGCGCGACGATGACGCGGTGTTGTTTAGGACGTACCTGGGCGCATAGGGCTGGAGATTAATGGGCGCTCGGTATGCCCCACACACACTCCGGCGAAGCAGCCCAACAGTTGGCAGCAATGCGACTCTTGTGGATACCCCGCTGACCTCAGCCCACACCAAGACGGACGTCTACCGCGCCCTCGGGCGTGCGGGCAAGACCCTCTTCGAAGGCGGCAGCAAGGGTATCACCATTGAGCGTTTCCAGGCCGTCGACGCCAAGGGCAAGCTCTAGATTAGACGATGCGGAGATGCAGCAGCGAGACACTATTTACAGGGTGCCTAAGAGGACGGTATCGCGGCCGAGCTACTAACAAGCACTTGGACATTCACGCAAAATGTGATGGGGAGAGCATCACACGACTGGCCTCGCTGGCTGATCTACGATACAGTCGACTCCTTCCCATGCCGCTCTTTACATCTGCCCAGCAGTGCATACGCTACGGAGTCTGCCTGCACTCTATCCAGCCCTAGGATGACGCCAGCACAGCTGCCTCCGGCTTCCGTTCCACCTCAGCGACTGTGGGGACAGAACCCTTGCGATCCTCATCGGCGACAGTGGGGGTGCTTGCGCCGCTGTTCTCCAGGTCGTCGTCGCTCTCGCCCATGATGGTCGCGATGGGGCGCTCAGGCGCATGCCACCACAGAAGGTAGACGATGTGGGCAGGTGGGCCGACACAGAAAAGGAGCACGATCATCCATTTGGGGCTGAGGACGTTGACGAGGCCAAACACGAGAAGGTATCCAGCGGCCTCGCAGCCGATCTTGGACGAGAACGCAACGTCGGCGTTGTACGTGAGGAATGTGGAGAGATAGGTGAGAATGGACACCTCAAGCGCCAGCAGCTGGATATTGTAAAACGCACCAGCGAAGCTCAGCACGGCCTTGAAGTGTCTCGGGCGCGTTTGGCCAGGTTCGTGCCCGACGCCGCGCTCGCTCATGTACCATGCGGCGAGGGCGAGGCCGCAGAGGCAGTAGTACGCCCCCACGTACACGTACATGACCCAGCGGAAGCGTGCGGCTACGTAGCGCGTACGCAGCCGGTCGTAGAAGAGGCCGAAGACAATGCTCGCGACAATGGCCCAGCTCTCGCTGATGGCGTAGATCCATCCGTTCCAGTCGCCGCCGACATTGACTACGATCTTATTGAACGACGCGTTGAACCAACCCTGCGTCATGCCGCCGGTGACGAAGATCGCGGGGCCCAGCGGCCCGAATACTGGGTGGATGAGCATCTGGAGGGGGCGCCAGAAGTTGTTCTTCCACTCCTTGAGTTTGTTCTGCTCGAGCTCGCGGCCCCCGCTCAGCGCCAGGTCCTGCACGACCGCCGTCTCAGACTTGAGGTCCTTGCCCTCCACGGCGCGGTATTCAACGGTACCGTCGTCGCGCTGGACGCGGTGTAAGCCTGCCGTGTGCCCTTCGGTGTCGGTTTTGGTCTGCGGCAGCCGGAAACGGCGTCGGAATGTGATGGCGTGAATGAAGAACGTGATAACGCTCAGCCCGCACAGGCTGATGAAGACGGCGTATTGGTGGTTAAAGTTGGAAAGCGTCTTCTGCACCGCGCCAAGGATGAGGCCACCCGCGAATACGCCGATGTGGAACGCACACTGGTAGATACCGGCATTGGAGGCGCGGTTGGCGGGCGTGCTCACGGCCGCGATGAGCTGGCCCGCCGCGGGCCAGAGAATGCCGGCGCCCCACCCGAAGAAAGCAGCGCCGACGAGGTTCGCCGCGTTGCTCTCGCTGAACATGCATGCAATCCAGGTCGCGTAAGAGATCGGACCCCACGGCAGGCACCATTCAAGGCCCCACCAGCTGAGGAAAAATGTCGCCCACATCGACGTAACAAAGTACGCAGAGTACAGGACGATGAGGATGTATGCGCCCGTCTCGGGGAAGCGAATCGTCTGCACGCCCTGGATGGGGTATGACGTGAAGAGGAGCATGAAGCCTGGCGTCAGCGACATACGATGTGGAATGCCGCTTGCAGTACTCACCGAGCGACATGACCCAGACGTGGTAGTCACGGTCTTGCAGCCAGTGCTTGAACCGTCCGAATGCTGTGGGCGCCTTGTGCGGGGAGAGTGCATCATGCACAGCTTGCACAGTGGGCCCGGGCAAGTCCGCCGTCTTTTCCGAGGGGGTCAAAGGGCTTGACATGGCGTTGGAGAGGCATGTGGGGGGGGGATGGTTAGTAGCCCAACTCAGAGGGGCTTTTAGGCAACTACGGTTAATCGTCACGACCTGGCGTAGTATCGGTTCACAACTGGGTCTGGAGGGGTAACCAGTTGGTACCCCGAATCGAAGCTTCAGTCAACGACTCGAATCTGGCTACTGTGGCGTCAGCAACGGCGGTCGGCTACGCCATGGCAAGATCATCGATGTGTCTATCCTGTATCGTCACGGTGTTCACGGTGTCGGCCGGCGTTCAAAGTGACTCGGATCGGCTGCCTTGTGCAGTGCAAAGGTGCACAGACCTCGGCCATTGGACATGAGATATCACTGTGCTTGGTGTCACCACCAGGTGGTGCGATGGCGTGAGGGGCATCATTAGCATCAACTCTGTCAGTCTCGTTCGATCCAGCCCGGCAATACGGCTGTGAAAGACGCGTCCAATTGCCGGAGAGGACGGTGCAGGCTACAGCACAGATGTGGTGGAAGCATTGAGCTGAATCTGGTCTGATGTGAGTAGTCTGTGGTCGCAAGGGAACTTGGGCGGAGGAGATATTGGTCAATGTTCAGATGGCAGATCCAATCCTCCCACGGATGCCTTCTCTCCCTGCCCTCTCCTTTCCCTTGCCGTTGCCGCCGTAGCAAGCTATGGTTTTGTGGTAGGGCCGCCACGTCCTCGTCAAGCACGTTGATGCGCCGATGCGGATCGGGACGGAGCGTGATTTGCGCACCACGGCGAAGACATTGAGGAGATACTCACCAAGGATTGGTGCCACGGGGCCAAACTCCAGGAACGGGCCCCACATCACCCTCCGTGTCGCCATCGTCTCGCCATTTCTCCCTTCTTGGCGCGTCATTCCATTGATTTCATGTCGCCATGGCCAGCGAGTCACAGGCCGAGTTTCTCCCTCATCGATCACCATTCACCGTCCACTGATCGATGCTACGCCCACTGACGATCGGCATCGCCATGCTACACGCAAGCACGCAACGCCGAGCCGGCAAGCAAGTCTCGGCTTTCATGCGCTCACGTCCGCTGGGCCTTAGGCAGCTGGGGCGGCAACCCTCGGAGGACCCGAGTCGAGCGGGATGCTATCGCCAGGAGGGCGGCGCAGTGCCACCCGCACGACGCATTGCGTGTCCACTGATGAATGCGCAAATGCCTCACGACCAGGCCCGCACCAGACCCGCAATAGCAGGGGTCGTCCAGAGCTTGAGCGATCAGCCGACGCTTCCACGAGCCGTACGACCCAGTGAAGAGTGGGTGTCGCGATTTTATACACGTTTCTGCGTCAGAGGAGCATCCCTGCAGAGTGTTTACTTAAGACAGGCGTGTCATCATCAGCTCCTGTCCGTTCTCTCAATCACACACAGCCGATTCCTTCCACCCACAGCTATCGAAAGCTAAACTTTCTCGATCTAAAAGGCAGTGACCTGCAAGTGTGCTCACATCTTCAGCAACCCCCTAGCAGCGACATCGCTACAATGCCTCCCGTTACGGCACCAAACGGGCTGTACCCCCAGCCTCGCGCGCCCAGGGCTGCTCCCTCCACGGCAACAGTGGCAGGCATCATCAACCGTGTCGCCTCGACATCGATCTCGCCGCCATCCCCACCGCCAGAGAAGAGTCTGTCGCCAAAGTCGCCGCCGGTGTCGTCCCTGTCCTCTGTTGAGTCGTCCGCATCAACTTCCCCGAAGAGCAGCCCAGCCTCAGCGACTTCAAAGTCCGACATCGCCCAGGTCTTCGCGGGTATCGACGCGAGGCGTCGATCCTCGGCCTCCAGCACCGGCTACGTCGACGGAACACACCTTCGCACCGCCTTCCGCAACGCTGCGACAAGTGTGTGGGTTATCACCTCTGCGCACGCTCGTCAGCCGGTGGGCTTCACTGCCATCACCGTGAATAGCGTGTGCGTCGATCCTCCCATGGTGTCATTCAACGTTGGACGCACCTCGTCGTCGCTCGACACGCTCTCGCGCTCCCTCCGCTTTGCAGCGCACCTTTTGCGTGAGGACCAGGGACACATTGCCACGCGGTTTGCGGCAACTACCGCGAAGCGCTTTGCCAATGACGAGTGGAGCTGGGGAGAGGATGGATTGCCACAACTGCCATCGCTTGCTCGCTTCAGCGGTGAGATAGTCTCGTTCAGTGCGGCCGGCGACAACCTCCTCGCCATCGGCCGGTTGGACGATATCACACTCTCGCCTGGAAAGCCGCTCGTGTACCATGGCGGCATTTATGGCTCGCTCACGCCGCCGCCATCAAAGAAGCGCATCTATCTCAACGCCTTCGACATGTGCTGCGTAGGCCACCAGGCTCCGGGCATGTGGACTCACCCATCGGACAGGGCGCGCACGTACAAGGACCTTGAGTACTGGACCAACCTCGCGCAGCTGCTGGAGCGTGGCGGCTTTGACGCCCTCTTTCTCGCCGATGTAGTCGGCATCTACGACGTGTACCGTGGCAGCCGTGATGCCGCCGTCCGCTCCGCCTCGCAAGTACCTGTGAACGATCCGGTCGGCCCCATCAGCGCCATGGCGGCCGTGACCAAACGCCTCGGCTTTGGTGTAACAGTCAGCCTTACCTACGAGCTGCCTTACGCATTTGCACGTCGCATGAGCACTCTAGACCACCTCACCAAGGGTCGTGTGGCGTGGAATGTAGTGACCTCCTACCTTAAGAGCGCTGCCACGAACCTTGGCCTTGACACGCAGGTACCGCATGACGAGAGGTACAATATCGCCGAGGAGTTCATGGAGGTGTGCTACAAGCTGTGGGAAAACTCATGGGAGGACGGCGCCGTGCTCCCGCCCGCCGAAGCAGCCGAAAAGGGCTTGTACGCCGACCCTGACAAGGTGCACGACATCGAGCATGAGGGCAAGTACTTCCGCGTGCCGGGCGCGCACTTGTGCGAACCGAGCCCACAGCGTACGCCTTACCTGTTCCAAGCCGGTGCTAGTTCTAAGGGACAGGCATTTGCTGCGAAGCATGCGGAGAGTGTGTTCATCGCCGGCCCTACTGTCCCGCATCTGAAAAAAATCAGCAGCGGTATCCGCGCGAGTGCGCGCGAGCAGGGCCGCGACCCTGCCAACGTAAAGATCTTTGCGCTCGTGACGATCATCACTGGACCCACAGAAGAGGCCGCGCAGGCCAAGTATGACGAGTACCGGCAGTACGCGAGCATTGAGGGCGCCCTCGCCCTGTATGGCGGGTGGGCAGGCGTGGACCTATCGACCATCGATGTCGACCAGCCCCTCGAGTACGTGGAGAACGACGCAATCCGCTCCGTCAACCAAATGTGGAGCAAGCAAGGCACGGGCGATGAGGTGTGGACGCCGCGCAAGATCGCGGAGAAAATCGCTATTGGCGGACTGGGTCCGTTGCTAGTTGGAAGCGCGACGAGTATAGCCAACCAACTCGAGCAGTGGATCGATGAGGCAGACATCGACGGCTTCAACCTCGCATACGCTGTCACACCCAACACATTCGAGGACATCATCGAGTACGTAGTCCCCGAACTTCGACGCCGCGGGCGGCTGCCCGAGCAGGAGCCTGACGCGCCACGCAAGACTCTCCGCGAGTCGATGGGCGGGCCAAATGCGACGGCTCATGTTTCGCCGGACCACCCCGCTTACAAGCACAAGAGGAGCCAGTAGCAATCTGGAGGCAGGCCGCGAACGTTGTAAGATAGCATATGGATATGTGAAGGTACGCGGCGTCTTGGACAGCTCGTCGTCTTCGAGAGAACATCAGAACTTGACTGCTACACAACAAAAGCAATCGGAGGGGATCGTCGTTGTGAAATATCATACGTCCTCGTGGTGTAGTGGTTATCATACTCTCTTAGGGTTGGTGAATACAGACTATGGGAGTGGCCCCGCGTTCGAATCGCGGCGAGGACCAGCGGTCTTAACTGACCGGTGTGTATGCTTTTTGCTGTTGTATTGGCTTCTCCTTCGCCCCTTCTCCGATGATGGCGGTGACGATCTAGGGAGTGCGCCCGCATCTTTCACGCCCCGATCTCGCTTCACTGACCGGCATCATCGTTTCTCAGCTATATAGGCCGACCGTTGACTGACAGCTGGCAGTGCGCTCACCACTTCTCATTTCACTTCCCCTCACCATGGAATTGCCGCCAGCCGTCACCAAATTCCTGGCCTCGCCTGCCGTGCAAGAGTTCCAGGCGTGGGCCATACAGCCACCCTTCGGTCCTCTCAACGCTCTCCACGAAGCCCACCTCCGCGGACGTGAATGGCAGCCATGGGCATCTCCTGCGGCCTACACCTTTGCAACTCTACCCATGCTCTGGCAAGGCTTTTTGATTGTCAAGCCCGGCACCCGTCCCAAGCGCGCGGCGCTCGGTGCGCTGGGACTTGCGATGTACATTCCATGCTGGCTCGAGTGGCGCTTCAACGGTGAGTTGGCTGACTGAAAGTCAAGAAGGCTCACCACAGATCCATCGCAGAACATGGGCAACTGCGCTTTGTCTCTGTACACGTTCTTCGTCATTGCCAAGTATCTTGAGTTCTCTCTCCTCACGGGGCCGATCGTCGACCCTCGTCTATTGCGCTCTCCATCGCCTTCACGCAAAACCTATATCCTTAGTGCGCTCGACTTAACGATCAACTTCCGTTGCATCGGCCTAGGCAGCATTGGCCTAGACAACTCGCTTGGCCCGCGCAATAGCACCCTCAAGGACAACTACTACTGGCACCCGCGTTGGCCTCCGCTCGGGCGTGCTGCTACCGTAGCGCGCCATCTGTACGCCGTGGCATGGAACTACGTCATTGCCGATGTTGTTGTCGCCTTCCTTCGCTCTCTTGGCCACGACACGATCTGCAAGCCCGGCGGCCGCCCCAACTCAGTTGACCTGTTCATCAACCAGTGGGAGTATCCTCAGAAGGCCTTCGCGTACATCTTCGCCGCCACTGTCATGGGTAACACCGTCGCACTCTTTATCGGCGCGGGGCACCATTTCATCGCAGCTCTTGCGGTGGGGACCGGTCTGTGGGAAACAAGCGCATGGGACTTTCCGATCTTCAGCTACCCGATCTTGTCCACCAGCATCAACGAGATGTGGAGCCGCCGCTGGCAGCAGGTCATTCGCGTGAGTCCGCGTTTGTCTCTGCCATCCTCATACTAACTTGAGCAGCACTACATGGCCGTCCAGTCCACGATTGCAATGTGGTTCCTGCCACCATTCTTGCGCAGGCGGGCCACATACATGCTCTTCGTCTTCCACTTTAGCGCCCTCCTGCACATCATTGGTCATATCGGCATGGACCCGGTGCCCCCTGCGTCCAACATTTGGATCTTCTTCATGCTGTCGGGCGTTGGCTGCCTAGCCGAGCGCGCATTCCGAAGCATTACGGGACGTCGCGTCCGCGGCGTCTTCGGGTGGCTCTGGACGTGGACGTACCTCGTCATTACAAGCAGGCTAATGGCCGACGCCTGGCTAGACGTAGGTTTTCCAGTGCTGTGGTCGAACGCGCCGCGCCTCGGCCTGGGCGACGCCATCGTCAAGGCGGTCGGCCTGACTCCCAAGTAGCTGTGCGGAAGGGGGGTTCATTATTAAAAGCTGTGTATAGACGTTTGCGCCCCTACAGTGTTACCGATGAAGTGTCTGTTCCATGATCCATGACCGACGCACTGGGACTTCGGGCCCTGCGCGTCATTACTGCTGCTATAAGCACAATACCGCACCAGTCATACTGACTCCAAACGCGCAGCATGCTACATCCCCTGCGTACCTGCGTCTGAAACAAGAGGTCTATGATCGCCGCTTGGAATAGCTGAAGCGGCTGGGAGGGGAGCAACTTATGCGCCGCATCCAAACCAGTCTCGGACATGCAAGAGTGGATGCGTGCAACGCATGTTTTCGTTTCAGTATGTGCTGCTCAATTCCGCAGAACATCGAACCTCCTGTAGTCGCAACCTCCCGTCGACGACACTGGTCCTTGGGATCGGGAGCCAACATGCGGTGTTTTCTGGAAGGTGTTTGGGTACTGGAACAGACAGACGCGGACGCTGGAACGTCCGCACTCAATCAGTGGACAAAGGGTTGTTTGGTTCGGCCTGCGCGTTCCAGTCGCGCGTCGTCGTGGCGACCGCACGCCGTGCCTCAGTTGTCTGTGCCTCAGAATGCGGGGCATCCACGCGTCGCGCGACTTCTCAGCCGACTTCTAGGCTCCCGCTATGTCGAGAACACATCAGCATCTCTGCTTGTTCACCAGAGCGGCCCGCGGCGTGCACATCATCCCGCACCTCGGCTCCCATGGTCCAGGACTTGATCCACATCACATGAGTGTGACAGGGTCGATTGGCGGCACCAATCCCGCCCTCATTGCATCCTCGATATGGCAGCTGACGGTGCAGAACCTTGACAGCCGGATGTCTAAGGCCAAGAGAACAACGACGGGGTAGTAGTGTCAGACAGAGGACGACAAGAGAAGAGCACAGGGGCATTGCTGTAGATGTCAGATGCAACGTCCGCGACTTCTTTTAACTGAAAGGCACAAGATGCCGCCGACCGGTGAGAGTCTCGACAATGCCCTCAGCAAGCTGAGACCCACACACCCTCAGATCTGAGGCCGTGACTTGGAATGCACGACGAGGCCTCCTCTCGCATCTCTTGACCATCGAGTTGCGCCCCACGCTCCCCCCCGTCCACACACTAAAATGCTAGGTTCTCGTCCTCCGCATGGGTCAAGTAGAATCCTCCAAACCCTTGTGCTATTTCCAGTCAGCGACTGCCACTATTTAAATATAAGTCCCATGACGCCGAACGCCAGATATCAACTAAGAACATCTTCTTGGGCGCTCCCAACCCTTGCGATCTCATTCATGTCTTGTCGAACGGGACGCGACAGGGGTTGCTTCAACCCACGCGGGTCATGCCCAAGTGGGCGGGGCGCGATACGCGTGTCAGGACGCCAAACTGAGTTTTGCGGCAGACGTCAGATCTCTCCTGCTGCTCCATACTCCGTCCCCAGTTTAGACGCGGAGGCTGGCATAATCTGATTCCAGTTAGAGCGGCTTCAAGGATGCGCAAACGCGGAACAGCGGCCGGCGGGGGCTGGGGGGGTGCGGATAAGGCACGCTCAATTCCCGCTGCCGGCATCCGGCGCGTCCATCTGACATTTCGGCGCGGGAGCGCGCCGCTGGAATCTGAAACGTCGACAACTGTCGTTTCAGCTGCCTCTACCTCCATGAAGCTGACAGTGAGTGCGGCCCGCTGCGTCTCGGCATGCGTGATGGCTGGCGGACTTGTCCTGCTTCCGAGCATCTTCCCGCCGATGTCACCGGCCAGGGAGGCTTGATTGCAAACAACGACCTCAATGGAAGGCGGTGGTACTTAAGTCTTCTCTGTTTCAGGCCGTCTTCTTCAGGCTGTCTTCAAAACAACTACAAGTTCGTCACAGCTCAAGAGTCGTGCTCGATCCCAACTAACTTTCCGACCAACGTCGGCGTTCCGTTTGTGCTAACCTTACTCGAACAGTTTGTGAGCAGTCAAGGCGAGTGGCACTGACTCCCTAGACTACCTGTTATCTCTGTTGTACTAGAACTCCGCCATAATGAAGTTGCAGCTCGCCATCTCGCTGTTGGCTGCCCTCGGCAGTGTCACAGCGGCGCCTATGGACAAGCGCCAGCTCTCTGTCTCTCTGGCGACGGCGTCACCGTCTCCGTTCCCTGCGGCTTCAGTCAACGCCACGCAGGTCAACGCCGCACCCTCTTCGTCACCGACGACCTCTGCAGCCGTGCAGCCCCTCAGAGATGAGGGTGACGCTGCTGAGGCGGAGCCTTCTGGGGCTGCCACTGCAGAGGCGGCCGCCGACCCCGAGGCTGCCGCCTCGCTCGCCTCGTCGCTCGCTGTCGAGGCGGCTACCGCTACTACCAACGCGGCGGTTGCCGAGCCGTCCACCGACCTCACACCCGCTTGGGGTGCCCGGTCGCGCCAGTACATGTATATCTGGGCGGGCGCAGTTGGCCGCCAGGTCCCCGACCGCATCGTCACCTTCGACTTCGATCCGTGGTCATCCACCTACGGTCAGATGGTCTCGCAGACTCTGACCGATACGACCGGTAACGAGCCTCATCACTGTGGCGTCTCGGCCGACAAAAGACGCCTGCTGTGTGGTGGTCTTCTCTCACTTCTGAAGGCGCAAAATGAGATTTTTGTATTCGATATCGAGACCGACCCGGCACACCCAAAGCTCATTCGCTCTACCAAGTCCAAGCTCAGCTCCGTGCCCGACGAGTTTGTCGCGATGGCCGACAACACCTTCCTGCTCTCCAACATGGGTTCTGCCGCGGGTGGCTCCCCTGGACGAGTTGCAAAGGTCGATGCGGAGGGCAATGTCCTTGGCGAGTACCCGGAGAACCCCCCTGCCGACTTCAACCCCCACGGTGTTCAGGTTCGTCCTGACCTCAACCTTATGGCTACTTGCGACTATCTCGATCCAGCCTCGACTCTGAATGCAGTACCAGGAGGCGTCGTGGTTCGCTCGTCCATCCGCATCTGGAACCTGAAGGAGATGAAGATTGTCAACACTATCTACACCCCGGCTGGCTCTGGCACCATGGACTGTAAGATGTACAACAAGGACCCCCGTGCGCGTGGTTACATGGGAGGTTCGGGGAACGGCGAGGTCTACCAGTGGGACTCGGCTGCCGGCACCACTAAGAAGGTCTTCAACATGAACGACGACGTCATCTCATGGTTCTTCATGAAGCCCTTTTACACAGTCACCGCCCAATACATGTCCATGACGTCCGACGACCGTTTCCTCTTCATTCCCTACGTCTCGGCCCCCGGTAGCTGGAATGCGAAGCCAGGATACTACTCCGGCATCCTTTCGTACGACGTGTCGGACCCCAATGCCGTCCGCAAGGTACACAACGAGCGCTTCCCGGCTTACGCCGGCCCCCACCTGTGCCACATTATGGGTAACCGCCTCATTGCCACCGACTACTTCCTCGACCAGGATGACTTTGGCAAAGTCCACATGGATGGCGACCATGTCGTCCGTGTCTTCACCATCTCGTCCACCGGCATTCTCTACCCTGAGCCACGCTTCCAAGTCGACATGGACGAAGTTATCCCTGGTGTTCAGCTTCGCCCACACGGTCTAGGGATGAACTGAGTTACGGTCTCGTTCGTGCCGCCTGCATGATTTCGCGTCAAGGACATTTACAATCTTGTTTCATCCCTGTACACATATGACGAGAAATGTTGAAACAGTTGGAAAGGGTACCGTTGGAAAGTTAGCTGTACTACCTAGCGGGCCGCCTGAGTCCGCACGATCTGCCTTGATCCATCAGATCGGATGATTTATGCCCATCTGGTCCTCAGAGCTGAACCGCGCGTATTTGGATAGTAGGGGAGCGTGTTTCCGTACATGACGTCTCCCGCAAACACATTATGCACATGTCGTCGGGGGCATGTCCCGTTCTCGGTAGCACCAGGGGACAATCAAATCACTCCACGTCTGTGGCGCTCGTGACGCCGTCGATTGCGAGCACGGCATCATATTAGGACTGCACCGAGTCTCCTGCATGGTCCTTGGCGGCGGCGGCGCCGCCGCCGTCGGGGGTGTCAGGGGCGTCAGTGGTGACTGATGATATCATAGCCGAGCCCAACGACGAGCTCGACTACACGTTCATCCTGCGCAACCTGCACTCTGAGCTCCTCTCTCATCCCTCGACGTCTCAGCTAGCTGCGGAGGTCTCAGAACTCGATCTACTCATTCCACCATTAAGGGTCACGTGACACCCTTTGGGCTTGACTCGATCCGATTGTTTAGATTGACTGGACGTCTCTTCCAACACCCACTCTTGTATCCTCATCAACATCCCCATCCGTTTGCTCTCTCTCATCTCTCAACCTCACATCCTCGCTAGTTTTAGGACCGATGCCATGCCAGCATCTTGCGCTAGGTCTTGAGCTCGCCAGCCGTTTCACTCACGCCTGGTCTGTCACCGAAACCTCCGCCTCGCCTCCACAGCGATATTGGTCATGGAGCTCATACCGAACGCCCTCACCCTCCCCAATAAGCTCGGCTCCAACCTCTGCGCAGACGACGCCTGAGAACTCGCCTCCCACATCGTCTCCAACTTCGCCCGAAACCTCCCCCCCACACCGTACCCCGTCCGCTAAAGAGCGTCCGCGCCTCCCCATTTCAGCACCTCCAGACAACTTTGGTGGATCGTCCAAGGCGGTCGACTACATTTTTGACCTCGACGCTCCTCCCCGCACCCATCCCCTCGATGTCCAGGGCTACCTCTACCTGGTCGGTGCCAAGAATCCGGCTTACGACGGGTCCAACTGGGACGCCGGCATGGCTGCTGGACTCTCTCGCCTGCGCGAGGCGCGTGCCCGTGGACAAGGGTGAGTAATTGAGAAATCCTTCCTCACTCTCAGCCTTTTTGTGGAACCCCCCAGTGACGCTGCATTGATGGCCGCCCCTTGCTTCCCATTCCTGCACGGTCTCTCCCACAACAAGCTTGATTCGGCAGTGGAGACGTTGCACTGCGCCCACTTCCCCAAGGATTATGACGGCGAGCGCCCAGGTCTCGCCTGGTATGCTGGTTGTCTGGTGCTCGTACGTGGTTGCCCCCCCCCCCGAGTCGTCTGACACCAGGGTAACGTCCGCGTCATTTGGCCCAACTCCTTTGTCCGTGCAGATCACCCTCTCTGGCTCGACGCCATTGTCGACTTGTATGGCTTTGACCACCCCGCTCTTGTTCGTGTCGATCTTCACGACGAGGCCCGCGGTCTCTGGCCAACTGACGCTGCGCTGCTGCTGTGCCGCAACCACCGCGCTTACTATGGTCGTCGTAATCTGGTCATCGGCCCTGTGCCTGAGGACTACGTTGACCTCGAGGACGAGCACTTGTGCGCTTCCACTGCGATCTGATTTCTGTTGTTCACCTTGCCAGGTATAGTGGCCGGTTTGTATGTACCCCCCTCATGTGTATCATGTACATGTATACAGCATCCGTAGTTGATAGCAGGGAGTCTCTTGCGTTGTTGAGTTTGGGTGTCCGGCTCTAGCTCCTCACAGATCACAGAGGGAACGTGGCCATGGCGGATTGGTGCCCCGCTGATCGCTGATCGCTGATCGCTGATCCGCTGAGCGTGGAAATTGTGCGTGCCTTCGAGTTGGATGTGTCGCTGTGTGGAACGTGGAGCATTTGCCATACTCCTTCCGACCAAACGCACCAACACCACTCTCCAGCACACTCTCCAGCACACCTCGGACTTGATTATCTGCGACATGATATCGAGATCTGACCGCAGGTCTCGGGCCATGACGCGGACCAGGTTGTCCGGAGGCAGATTGACCAAGCTACACCGGACGTGATGGAGACGTCTGTACGGAACTGATGCTGTGCTGCACGTAGATCGTCGGCGATCGCGAGCTCGTGAACGATGTGTCCGCGACGCTTCTCACGCACTGACCGACGACCACCAGCACCACTCTGCTGCTTGCGTGGACGTCTTATGCACTGGAAAGAGGACCTGTTCTTGGTCCCACTTTCACAAACTTCCCGCTATCCAACATTATGAGTTTTTCCCGCCCGCTGCACGAAGCCGCCGACACCGACACTCTTCACGTCCTAGATGTGTCCATCTTCAGGTCATTCAACGGGTCATGGCAAGTTGAGCTAGGTAGCAATACCGTCGTGCTCTCCGCAACACAAGTCGAAGGACCGTTGGCTGTTCGTCGGGGCACCATCAAGAACATCGGGCGCGTGGTAAAAGCCTGCGCTGAGCCGTTTCCACGCGCATATGTCGAGGCTTGGTCTATGGTGTGTACGTCGCGCAGGAGTTGGCTGATGTATCTTCAGGCAACAGAGCTATCGCACATCGGCCCAACGGTCGAGCCAGGGGACTCTGAGGATCGGGCTGCCTTGAGCTCCCCCACCAGCTCACTTGGTCGCCACCAGCTTTCACACCACGACATCGAGGAGTGGATCCACTCAGGCTTGGCGAATGTGCGCCGACGCTGGCCGACGCTCACGATTCACTACCTGTACACGACTTCAGCCAGCCCTTCGACACGCCAGATCATCAAAGTACTCGCGTCTGACTACAACATGACACCAGTAGAGATTCCGACGCTGAAAGCTCTCAAACTGTATTTGGCACCCAGCCAACCACCTCCCCCTCCCCGCCAAGCCACTGCCCCATTATGCATCATCCCCGATACCAACCTACTTCGTTACGATAAGGACGGTGCGCGGACCGGCCTAGTTCGCCATATTGCCACAGCCGCAAAGCACTCGTCTATGACCATCTGCTTACTCCCTGAAGTATGGGAGGAGATGGCAGGAGCGTGGAAGGCAGAGCAGAGTAGTCAGACTCCTGGTATGTGCAATGTAAAGGTCTTGGACGGAGATGCAATGAGCAGGCTGACTGGAAGAGAACCAACAGACACAAACGCCATCCCGCACTCAATTTTGGGAATGGTGGTTCAGTCCACAGGGGGCAGCAGAGGCTTTCGACACCAGAAGGATCCGACCATGCCTCCATCACCTGAAAGGCTGGGATGCAGTCGCCCTATTCCCCAGCTTGCCCCTCCTACACTGCCATCACGGACACCACCAGCGTGTCCCTCCCCTTATCAAAATTTAAGCAGCGGCGCGAGTGGCTGGGGCCTCGGCGACCACCTCGGCAACCAATTCTTTTGAATCACTGGTCCCCATTCATCGCCCTCACTGGCCCTCTCGCCCCCTTCCGGCGGCCATTGGACTTCAGAGGTCACTGGCTCCTCCCATCATCTTTCCCGATATGTCCAAGCAGATTTCTGCTGTAGGGCTCATACACTGTCCCCGCCAGGCGAGGTTTGCTATCCGTGACCCTGCCATCCTCGCAGAATTGGTGGTGGCCGGTGGTGCTGACATGGAGCAGCTACTGGTGCTCACCGCTGACCATGAGCTCTCTGTCAAGGCCGCAAGCCTTGGGTGCAGGGTGATCCTGCTGGCCCCGCCAAAAAGCTTCTACGGTGTTCCGCTCCCAGTGAACCTCACCGAGGCAATGGACGTTCTTGGTCTCGGGTGTATGTAGAACTGGCGTCGAAGAAAGAGAAGCCGTGTGCAAAGTCACCTGGTGTATGCGGCGCTGGCGTTATGACATTCCTGTGCATGTGCCGTAGCCGCGTGCAGCTGCACGGTTAGACGCTGCCTGACCAACATACAAAGATATATATAGCCACAGGCCGCCTTCGCCGCTGCGGCGGGCATGGCGACGTGTGCACTGCCTGCTAACGCTCCTATTCTAGCCAATCTGCAGCATCAGTTATCTGTCCTGCAGCTTGCGCCTGTTGGCATGCAGGAAAGTCGTGGTGGTTCGTGGCGCGACCGCGACACGGCACGCGAACGCGAAAACGGCCGTGCCGACCGCCAGGCAGGGCACGAACGGCCTCCTCGTCTACGCCAACGCCGCCGACCCGCAGGGCACGAACGACTTCCTTGTCTAAGCCGAGGCTGACGCACCCTCGCCCGAGGGCCAGTTCGTCTTCGCCACCATGTGGGCGGCGCCCACTGCTACTGGCACTTCCAAACCCACTACAAACCTGCTCTCCTGGATGCGTTGCGGCATGTGAATGCCGTGAGCACAAAGTATGGGAACGTGGTAGCGTCAGCTTGGTCCTACTCCAGCAAGTGCTCAATGACAGAGGACTGGAATTAAATAACCGCGCCTGGCTGAAGACGAATGCGGCAGTTGATCTCGCCTTTAAGGTAGAGGAAGGCTTGGTGCCCAGCCACGCACACCACGGAGTAGTGGGGAACAAAGTCGTCGGCGTCCTTATGCCACTTGACGGCCTCGCCAAAGGAGACCGTTAAGATGGTGCCCATGCCGCCCATTCTGATGTCCGGGGCCTACTGTAATTTGCCTGAGTCAAAGTAGTCCACACACTTGCGTGTCTGGGTAGTTTCGACCGCAACAGGATGGCCCATGACCGCAACAGGATGGCCCATGACCGCAACAGAATGGCCCATGTCCTCGCCGAGCTGCCGGTGCACCTCCCGGTGGTGCACAGCCATCTTCCTGGCAGTGTCGGGGTCGCACTGTCGCAGGAAGCGGAGAGGACGAGTGCCCATGGCAGTGTCATACAAGCGCTTGAGAGAGGCCGCTGCCTCCTCCGCCTTGGCGTCGCGCGTGTCTGCGGAGATGAAGACAAGCTCTGAGTAGCGACGCCAAACACCGAACCCGTTCTGGTGGAAGTTGTGCACATGAATGCCACTTGTCTTGGCCTTGAGTCCGGTGGCTCTGATGGCAATGCACCCGTCCAGAAGGGCCTGGACGGTCATGGATTTGATGCCCGTGCGCAAGAAGACGACCAGGTACTTGGGTTGGTTGGGGCTGATGAACTGGGGGCTGTCGGGGATGGTGAGGGCCCAGTTGTTCCGATTCGGCATGGTGTTGAAGCTGGAGGTGCAAGGAGGCAGAGGGCACGCAACATCCTCAGGGTGCAGGATGCGGAAGTTGCGCTGCTGGCGGCGGTGGGGTTTTGGCTTGAGCGGACGCGGCATGGGTGTGTGGTGGCAGGGGGGGGGGGGGGTAGAGTTGGGCAGAGGGGTGGAGTGAGAGGTACAAAGTTGTCCCAGATCTCGTCGAGGGTTCTTATGTCGGCAGATTACCCCCATCATTGAGCTGCCTGAAAGAAGCTTGCATCCAGATGTATGTACAACAGAAGCGAATCAATCATCATCGGGGATGGCGCGCACGAGCACGGGCATTTGGTACCCGGCTTCCTCCTCGCCAACGACCAATGGGCGCATGACGATTCTACGATGAGTGCGCACTACGCATCGTACTCACTGCGCCTTAAGACGAATCTCCGGGTTGGAAGGCAGAGGCAGCACTTCGAGGTGGCGGAAGATGCAAAACAGCGCGGCCTTCATCTCGGCGAGTGTCAGCCGGTACCCGCTGTAGTCAGTACGACCCCAGTTGCCCACTCACATGCAATTGCGTGCACCATTGAAGAACGTCAGGAGATTGCCATACACGCCTGTGACATCCTGAAGGGAAGTTTATGATTGTCGTGGCGGTCAGGGTTAAACTCGAGTGCGTCGGGTCCCCAGACCTCCGGTGACCGGTTAACGTTCATGACAGCTAGTGTCAGGCCTTTCAGAACAGTTCAGTGACGTACGTATGAAGATATCCGTACCGACTGGCACGTCAATACTACTGATCATCTTGCCGTCGCGACCCCTGATGGGTTGACCGAGAGGAATAATGTAATGTTTGGCTGCGACACGAACGCCTCCCGCCACCGGCGGGTCCAGCCGCAGTCCTTCGTGCACTACCTTGTCGAGATACGGCAGGGCATTGAGCTCGTCACTGTCGTTAGCTAAACATTACGGCAGCTCACAAGCTCGGATTATCATGCGGGAACGCGCGCAGCTCGTCGCGCAACCTTTTCTGCACGTGCCAGTTCTCCGCAAGACGGAATACCATCCACGTCAGAGCTGTCGCCGTTGTCTCGTGGCCAGCGATAATCTGAGTCAGATATGACATAAGTGTCGCTCACAAAGGTCACCACCTGCGCGATGACCTCTTCGTCAGTCAACCTCTGCTCCGGGCGGAGCGCTGGGTCCATGTTGGCGCGCACAACGCGCGAGAGTAGGTCACGTCCAAGTGTTTCGTCCTTCTCGCCCGTCGCCAGCTCGGCCGCGACGAGCACCTTCTTTTGCTGAACAATCTCGCGGGCTACGCGATCAGTCTGAGCCTTGGCTGCCCCCACGGCATTGGTGAGTTTATTCGGCTGCTATCAGCGTGACTCAGCTGGAACGTACCAAAGCTCGCAGCGGCGGGATGACCGCTGCAAGAATGGCAAGGATACCCGGGCTATTGCCTGCCCTCAAGAGGTCACGGAACGAATCCGCGAGGTCGGTACTTCGACCCGCGAGTGCTGGATCGCATCAATCTTCGTCGCGTCTCTCGACTTACCCCCGAAGTCGTAGTCGAAGCCCGCGAGGCCGATAATATCGAGCGTCATTTGACCCCAATATGGTATCATATCAACTTTTTTTGTGCCGAGCACGCGATCTTCCGGCTTCACTGGCGTAGAGCAGTAGGTCTCTTCCTCAGTGTCGAGGATTGCGCTGAGCTTGCGCTGTAGCTCCCACGCCTTTTCCATGAATATGGGGTGCATCGACTTAATGGCGGGCAGGCCAAAGGCGGGGCTCATGATCTTGCGCTGGCGCCTGTGATCATCGCCCTCGACCGTGAGGAGTCCGCGACCGAGCACGAGCTCGAGTGCATACACTGTCGGCCCAGCTTTGTGGTAATCATATGTGTGCTGGGCGATGTGCGCGATGGCAACTGGATCGGCGAGGCATATGCGCGGTTTGCCGAACAGGGTTCTGTATCGGAAGGCGTTGCCGAAGTCGGCGATCCAGCGGGTTTGTGGTGCATTTGTGGGCTCCTTGAGAATCTCACTGTAATTACCCCAGAACACTGACGACGGCTTTGGTCCAGGCAGATTCCGGTACGGCAAGGTATACTCGCGATACGGGTATGCCCAGAGGATCAGGAAAGCGGGAAAGAGGGTGGCAAGCGACAAGAGAGTGAGAATCGGATGAGCCCGCGCGAGCTCGACCACGCCCTCCATGTGGAAGGTGAGGCGGGGACCGGTGAAAGACCCACTCATGATGTACGGCGGATGGGTGGGTGGGAAGATCAATCTCGCCTCGGGTAGATATATCAGCCCCAGTGTGGAGAGCCTGGTGTCAGCGGAGGTAACATGTGACCGCAGCCGCTGTTTCGGGAACGAAATCGGCTCACGCCTTCGTCCGGGTCAGCTCGAACGCCGAAAGTGTTTCGACTTCGAATGCGCCGACCACCCCGACATGGACTCACAAAGCGTGTGTTGCTTGGTGGCTTGGAACCCGGCAGCGTTGTAAGACGGCGCGCCCGCGATTCCAGATGTTCCGAATGAGACGATGCTATGAGCTCATTCGAGGCCTGGGCGTGGCTCGCTATTGTTGCGAGGGGAGCGTGGCATGCATCGTCAGATGGTGCCTGTCCCGCCGCGATAATAGAGTCCACAGGAAGTCTCAGCTTGAACCCTAATCTCATCCATGGCTGCAATGCTCGCAATTTATCGATAGCTGACACAACGCATCACCGCATGCAATGCAGGGTATCGCTCCCTCTCTGCTTGACTATTTGTGCACCTATGGGCACTGAGCTCCTCTACCTCAGCATGCACTACTTTCGCGGTTTGCGAGCATTCTCCAGGATCCAGTGTGGCCCCACTGTCCAGCCAAGCAGACGCCGGCCGTGTGTGCTTTTGCCCTCCGCATCGAAAGCGCTCCCGCCGTGGATGTCCCTCAGACCATCAATGACAAGCCCGAGAGCGGGTAGCGCGGCGCGGTCCTTTTCCATAGCCTCAATGATGTCCGGCTGCTCTTCGCCAGCAAGAGAGGCAAAGAATACGGCCTGACGCCATGCGTAGGCCGCATTTTTCACTTTTCTCAGCGGCCGGGGGTCGCGACATGCCAGTCGCAGGAGATGCACGCACTCCGCCCATGCGCGCTTCGCAAGGCTCGCCCACGGCAGTGATGCGCCTAGCGACACGATCGTAGCTAAGTTGTGTGTTGTCAGGATCTGCGACTGCTCTATGACCTTGCCGTGACGTGCCGTCGAACTCCATCCTGGTTTCTCGTTCGCGCGATCGAAACACATGTGTGCGAAGTCGAGCTCCACGCGTGCTTTGTCATGCTCTACTCCCTCTGTGGACTCCGCATCTCGAATCTCCTGCGCAGTCTCTTCCTGGATAGCGCCTTCAAGTGGGTTTCGCTCGGTGGGCGGCCAGAGAGCGTCGACTGCCTTGGTGTCAATGTCGTAGTATGAGATGTAGAGAGGCCCAGCAAGGTCGGCGGCAATCTTGGCAGCCATGGTAAACTTGCTAGAAAATGTCCCCATGAAGATGTCTGCAGCAAGCTCTTCGACAAGTGGGACGCGCCGCATGTCGAGGTGACGAAGAAGCGCCAGGTTGTTCATCTGCGATACTAGCTTGTTGGCAAGGATTGTACCTGGCCATCGCGCGATGGCGATCTCTCCGATATGACCCAAGGCCGTCAAGGTGGTGATGTGACCACCCGTGTGATTTGCATGGGGCTCAGCAGCGTCGACCCATGGCAGCTCGCCCAGCCGCACCTGATGCTCAAGATTAAGCAAGAGCAACGAACGCCGGGCGCTGAACGCCTGATAGTTGAGGGCCATGACGCGACCGAGAGCAGTGGGATACTGTTCAGCGACAAGTCCAGAGACATATACAGGCACCAAGACCGCGTACGCCTCAGCGGAAGGGACCTCCAGATCATCGACAGGCGCAACCCTCGTGCGCTTAAGGATGCGGTCGACGAAATCAGGCATGGGTGTATTTGCCGCGACGCCGTGTGCCATTGACTCTGCGGCGGTGACTGGCCCAGTATACTCCGTCGGGTCCAATAGGCCCATCTGTTGCAAAGGTTCGGTCAAACGCTCAGCCGCAATCGTGGCCAGCTGCGTTGAGGACTGCATTTCAGCGACCGTTGTCTGCCGCAGGCGAGTTTCCGTGAGTTTATCCGACCCTGGGGCTCCACGCTTCTTGACCATGTCCACAACAGCTTTACGCACGCGGCCAGCCAAGACCCGCGTCAGGGCGGTCTCGGCCGATGAAGCGGCACTTGCAGCGGAGACCAGCCATTGAATATTGCTGCCCTTGCGCACGACTTTGCGGCTCAACGGATACTTCTTCTTGAGAGATACGAACTCGGAGGCCAGGTTGGCCGCTGACTGCTTCCACGCCTCGTCGCCCAGCTTAAAGGTGCCATCCTCCACACAAGGGTACCATAAAGCGAGGAGACGATCAGCGTAGGGGTTCCAAACGCGGAGGGTCTCGAGCATACTCTCGATGACTGGCGGCGAGTGGCGCGCCTTGAGAGCCTGTCGGGCTTCACTGACACTCATGCGGAACGTGTGCCCTGGCGGGATGAGAGTGGCATCCCGTCGCGGGGCAAAGCGGAAGCGCCCTGAATATGGTTGGATGGAATCGAGAATGGCGAGAGCCCCTCCCTCGTCGCCGGCGCGAAGAAGCCATGCGACAGTGAGCAGCGCTGCTTCTTCCGGAACCTTGACGGCATACAGCCCCGAGTCGAGCAGAGCGTAAAGCTCGGCAAGGCCAGTGTCAGAGAGGTAATACGCAAATATCTGTGCGCGACGCTCATTTCCGTCGGGAAGACCGAGGCGTTCGGCGAGCTCGATCTCGTCCGGCTCGAGAGCTGTCTCTGCCAATGCCTCGCCTGTCGTGTAGCCGCCCCAGAGCACTTTGAGCGTCACCCACGTCGGGAGGTCCTTTGCGGGCTTCCGTGAGCCTATCGTGATCTTGCCATCCTTGATACCGTCGATGGCAAGTGCCCACTTCTCCGCACGAGCGCCAGCACGATCGCGGACCTCCTCGTCGCCGTGAGTCGAGGCGGCCAGAAGAGCCTTCCGAAACTGGCCGTAGGCGTATGCCGTGGACATTGCGAGCGATGAAAAGAATGCAAGAGAAAGAAAGAGGAGCCAGGGGCTAAAGTGACCAAGACGGAGGGGTCAGAGCTGGAATGGCTGTGCATACCTTGGGAATACATCGTCACGTGGAGCCCACAGCAGAGGTTCCGAGGAATGTGGAGGTTCCGCACAAATCCATACCTCAGTGTATTGGCATCCGCGCCAGGTAAAGATCACGTGACTCATGGGACTGTGGTGTAGTGGTAGCATGTTCGCTTTGGGATTCTGATCACGTTGCGAATGGTCCGGGGTTCAATCCCCTGCTGTCCCCTGATCCTGGCGATGCCCGGCTCATATAGGTTTTGTTTCGAAACACAGAGGTCGGAGCTAAGGCGAGTTCAAGGCCTGTTCTTTGCTTGTCCCCCGAAGAGCCAGCTTTCATTCTCGCATACTTTCTTAACAGCATACTACTCTTGTCTCCCTCTCGCATCACGTCACCTAACACTTCGACGCGCTACAGACGCAAGTTGGGCCGATGAAGCCGTAGCAGTGGCCGTTGCATTTGCCAAGCCCACGGCATTTGGCTCGGCAGTTCGCGTTTCCGTCGCCCCACCAACAAGTGGGCCACCAGCGACGCTCAAGGGTGCGCTGGTCGAGAGCACGCTTTGTGTCCTCGTCCTCCTCGTAGATCACGTCCTTGTAGTCTGAAGCCTGTCGTCAGCGGCCTAAGATTTGAACAATTTACGTCAAGAGCACCAGGTGTACGGCCAGGTACACACTCGACGTCGTTGTTAGCGGAGAGCGAGCAGGTCTCGTCCTTGTCGGCAAAATAAAGGGCAGTGCCGGCGGGTGCGGGCGCGGCCTTGGCCACAACGGCGAGCATGGCGACAACGGTGATAAGGGTGAACTTCATTGTCCTGATGCTCGTTGGTGATTCGGTTTCTATAAAACTGCTTGAAGTGTGGTGAAATTGGATGAGTGATATCCAGTCCAAGTGGGGGGTATTTACCCCATTTCGACAATCCCTTCTTGGTGCAGCTGTTGGGGCGTTAAGATCATCGAGGCAGTCTGTGGTGTTCGCAGTCAGCCCCAATTGACAAGCGAGGTGATCCTCGAGTCGTCAGCATTCACGCTGGTTCCGGCGGATGCGGGGATCACTTCACAGAAGCAACTTTAGTTCGATACGTTGTCTTGACCTCGTATGAGCTTGACCTCGGGTGAGCTTGACCTCGGGTGAGCTTGACCTCGGGTGACAGTTGTTAGTTTGCGAGGATCCTGAGAGGACACAGCAAACGCCGGGAGCTGAAGCTTCATTGCCGCTGGAGGGCAAGACATTACTGGAAGGCGGTGCCGTCCCTGTGAGAATCGCTTGGAATGAGCGGCAGGATAGCAGCCTGTGCATGCGTAGGTGTCGAGCAGTGAGCTCCGTGCGCTTGAGTTTAGGTTGCGTGGGCATCACCATCTAGTGCACCACCGGTACCACCATGTTCTCTGTGGAGAGACGTCAGTATACTGGAGAGGATTGAGGATGGTCGACGTACGAGTTCAAAGAGCGTTGTTAAAGACCGACGCTTGCATCCAGTGAAATAGTGTCTCCACCGAAGTAGAGAGCGTTAGCTAGAGACTCATACGACGCCAGCGAGTGAATGTACTTGCAAAAAAGCCGATGTGGGTCCTGGAAGCAGCCGTCGTAGCTCATCAGCAATCAGTGCCGTCGAGCGACGGACATACTTTCCTGCTGTAGTCTGCACAGCACCAACCTCGACGCTGCCCTCTTTGCCCGGCAATTGGCGACCAGAGTCGTCGATCGATGCATTTCCCATCGCGCTTCCCGCTGCCCATCTTCTAACGGCATGTGCGGTGCGAAAACAGTTCGTAAGTCACCGCATAGGGGGTCTTCTGCCGTTGAGTCGATGAGAATCGCAGTAGATCAAGGATGGAGTGAGTGTAGGATGAAGTGAGTGCAGCGCCACTTGCCACGGCAGTTCCCTTATCCCGCACAGCAAACCCGTTCCTGGGTGCCTATGGCAGCCTCGCTCAACCTGCACATAAGGTACTACACACCATCAGCTGACATTTCTCGCTGCGGGCAACTCGTCGGGCCACGTCGAGGGAACGGGATTGGGTTTGGTAGCTGGATGCTTCGAGGTAAGGGACACCTAGATGAAGTGAACGGTCAACCTTATTCCCATTAAAGCGTTAAGCGTGCACAGGAGTGAGAACTCGGCCCCAGATATGCATGTGACAACACTGACACCTTCACTCAGGCAACACTCGGATATCACCTGACCCGATGAGTAGGGGTAAATCAGACCTCGCTACGCTTAATGCTGATAAAGTTATTTATCCCAACCTTCCGAGGGTGACAACTGTGCAGCTTCAGCGAGGGAGGCTACGCTCACAGAGTCTGGACTTGAGTGACACTGAGACGATCCGACGGATAGGGCTGTCAATATTCCGTTGTCAACTTCGGGAAAGCTTTCATCGGGCTAGTTGTCGTCAGGTCAGCGACATTGCTACTTGCCGTCCTTCTTCCAGTTCTCATCTCCACCAATGAAACGATATACGACGCGACTGTCGCGGTCCACGCAGTTTGGGTCGGCCGAGGCTCGTGTGTAGACGTCAAGACCCGACTCCGCAAGATACATCTTAGCATCAACGAGTTTTGCGGCCTCCACGGCGAGATTATAGTCCTTGCGCATGAACTGGACCTTGAAGCCGGGCGCGTAGTCGTCGGATGCTGGCGCTTCGGCCTGCACGCCGGGCACGGGCTGATATCAGTCCCGTCCTCAAACATGCATACATTACAGCTCTGGTTAACCCAGCTTCCGCCAGTGCTGACGGCGAGGACGTCACGAAACGTGACCGGGTCGACGCCCAGGCGCATCGCGAGGTTGAAACCTTCCGAGGTGGCGATTGCGATCGTCCCTCCCACGTAGTTGTTGCAGATCTTTGTGCAGAGGCCCAGCGTAGGCCCCCCACACTCGAAGATGTTCTTGCCCATGAGCTCAAGAAGGGTGCGAATTTCGGCCAGCCGCGCATGTCCAGCGTTCAGCCCCATCATGAACGTCAATGTCCCCTTGTCCGCACCCGCCGAACCGCCTGATACGGGCGCGTCCACGAATACCGCACCGGCCGCCTCCACCGCCGCAGCGACTTCGCGCGAAGTTGCCACATCGATTGTGCTGCACTCCAGGACGAGTTTTCCTTTCAATACGGCCGGATCCGATAGGGCTCCACCCTCTGTCGTCGCGTACACAGCTGCAACGTGCTTGCCCTCCGGAACAATCGAGAGAATGACGTCCTGACACTCAGCGGCGTCGCATCCAGACCCACGCTGTGCTTGGCAACCTCCGCAGCATTCTGTGAGATGACCACTGGCCCAAGCGACCCGTACTCTGCTGCGAACCGCTCGGAGACAGACTTTACCACATCATTGATGTACAGCGTACTCGATGACGGCAGCTTTTGGCGCAGGTTGCGGGCCATCTGGCGGTCAGCGTCCGATAACCTGGAGAGCTCACGTGCCAGCCCATGGCCCCAAGGCCAACTCAGCGTCAGCGGAGCGGCGATAGTCACAAACCGAAGCCAACAGATGCTGGCATGCACCACTGCGTTGACATGCTTTCCATCGTTGGTAGCATGAGGAGGCGTTACTGAAGACTCGCTGCCCGAGCTAACCCGTGGGATGCAGATTGGGGTGGGCCGGTTCCTTCACCGATGATGACGACATCGGATAACGCCGACAGCATCTGTCTCTCAATTCGACAACCGGTTGCTGCCTCTTGTGTGCATGCCACAGTTGAAGTTATTTCATGGATACAACAGTACACGTAGTGCAACAGATCAGTGCGATCCGCTACTGGCTCAGAGGCAGCCAGACACTGTAATGTTTAAGACCGCTGGACCCTCCTATTCTCGAGATCTTCGCAGACCGGCAGATAGATCCCCAGCTACATTATCACTCACGGACTGCAGATCCCACGAACTTCCTTAGTCACTTGACGATGGCATAATACCTGAATCCATCCCTTACCAACGCTTAGCCAAGCTGGAACAGATGCACGATATCAGCTTCTGATATCCGTGTGGCTGATGAATCGATAGTTCTATCTGTTTTGACGGACGTATCGGCTGATCAGTACTGTGCACTGTGAAACTCGGTGTGATCCATTTTGCCGGACGTCAATGACGCTGCAGCCGTGTGCCGTCTTCTGGACCAGTTGTCCGTGTCTTCGCCGACGTGACCATTCGGGTTGGATCACGTACCCACCGTCTAGCAGCATACATGTTGTCAGTGTGCAACTGATCTGACAACTGTGGAGCCGCCTCCGCAAGATCAGCCACTTGTGATGTTTTAGCATATCAGTTTTCGCGTTTCAGAGACCAGGAGTTCTGGCACTAAACTCGGCTTACCGGTCTAGAGCTCTCGACGCCGGTATTTGTGCGATTACCGCAAGATGGGACCTCACCCGCGAACCCCTGTGCACGCCCCGTGTCGACCGCCCAGGTTGGAATTCTAATTAAGGCGAAGAGCTTCTGCACCGCATAGAGCTACGACCCCGCGGGAATACCGCTGGGCGTCATGATCGTCCCGGCCCAGGCATACCCAGCATGAATGAAGAACTGGATATGTGCCTTCTGCCGACCTCGAGAAGCCGCTCCTGCTGTCTGGGTAAATTACTCCCCTTTCGTCACCGTTGCTGTCGCGTTTCAAAATGTGGAACGCAAGTTTGGGAAGCTGGTAGAAGCAAGGGGGTTGAGTGGAACGATGCGTTGAAACATCTTGGGCGTCTGCGCTGCGTTCCCCGGCGTCACGGCACAGAGCCACATTCCTGCCCCGCCGTGCTGCTGGCCGGAGACCTCCAATTACTCTCCCGGGGGCGTTCTGGAGCCGCGTCAGGAACGGTTGTCACTTGACGCGCTCATCGCCCACTGAGAACGCTACGCAAGTTATTAGATGTACTGACAGAGCCCATGGCACCCACCGCGACGACTTTCACTTTCTTCTTGCGCCTTGTCTTTTCTTGACTCCATCGCTGTTCAGCCTCTCAGCCTGCTGGCTTTGAAGAGCAACCTCGCCAACCCTGCCCAACCGAAAACTTCCCTCGTCCCGCATCCGACGACGTCAGATGACCCCGGACAATCATGACCTCAATGACTGAGTCGCCTCCGATATTGCGCTCCACGCTCATGGTCGAGCCCATGTTGGAGTCCGTGCGGTGAGTCAGCTAGCGGCGGCGGCTAATTTTTGCCTCAATGCGCTTGAGGACATGCACCTCGCCCTCCTGAACCCTAGCCACGACCACCTCATCACAGCCCATCTCTCGCGTGTTCACGCGACCGGCAGCCGTTCAAGGGTCCTCGACGTTGGGATCGTACGTTCCCACTACTAATGCTCATCTATCCGTCAGTTAACCAGCAGGGCACCGGCACGTGGGCCACTCTGCTTGCACGTCATCATCCCTACGCCGATGTCGTGGGTGTCGAGTGCGTTAGGCATCGGCAAGCGCTTTCTGCCCTCAGGGGGCTTACACCAGCATATCGTGGGCAGCCTTCCAGCCCCCGGTCGAGCTGCCTCATGGCAATGTCGACTTTTATACTGTTGGTAAGTCTGTCTGTGCGTTTTCTCTCACATATTTACCGCAGATGTTACACAACCCCTGCCGTGGCCCGACAACACCTTCGGCGAGTAACACGTGGAGGTAATTAACTCCAGATATGATCCACGTCAAGTCGATGGTGATGGACATCCCTCACTATCCGCAACTAGTTCATCGCCTTTCCCGCATCCTCCGTCCTGGAGGACTACTCATCCTGGTCGAGAGCGAGCTGTCCTACGTAAGTGTTGATGCATCAACGCCAACATCAGGTGTCAGCCAATGGCCCTCCTTCCGACAGCGTCGTCGTCTGGTCGGAAGCGCTGCGGCGGGCTCTCGCAGCCAAAAATAGTGAGCTCAGAGCCGGTTCTGTGCAGCTAACAACAGCTGATGCCGATATCATTTCTCACCTGGACGGGGCTATCGCTGCCACCGGCATGTTGTAAGTGCCCTTCCGTACGCAGATGGACCCGAGCTGAGTCCAGCTGCCCTCAATTTTTCTTCCAGGAGATCGGCTGCCCAGTTGGCGGATACATGACGGGTGGTAAGTTACCGAGGGCGCCGGAGACTGACCCCTAGCGTCAACGGATCAGCAGGAATGGGGCCATACAGCTTATCTCAGGCTCCAAAGCGCTCCAGAAAGCCGGGGCGATCCAGGCAACAGTGATTCGTGCATCCCTGTGGCGCATCATCTCGTCCCGTCTTGACGACGGCCCGGAGCGCAGACAGCTGGAGGCTACGCTCGACGCATGCGCTGCCGAGGTGAGCCTCCTATCACGTTGTGCACTCACACAGCTCTGCTCACCTACTTCGCGTTACCTGCAGCGCCTCTTCGCTGTGTATGCCTACAAGCGCTTCCCGCCTCGCGAAACACCATTTTCATGACATACTCAGTCCCATTCACCGTACGTTTCTGTTATTTATCGCTGGATGATATTGAGAACAGTCGTGAACATTCGTGGGACCGCTGCTGTACTGCACATGCATTGCTCGACCCCAGCGAACAGAGTGGTGAGTGTGAGTAGTGCTACAGAGACTCGCCTAGCGGCGCTCGATGAGACCTTCCTTGTCGGCCTCGGGCGCCCAGTACACAATTGCGCGACCGGGGTATGGGGCGCGACTGGAGGGCACGTCGACCACAAGAGCAAGCATCGTATAATGTCCAGCGGCATTCTTCACGTAGTCGGCGCGCACCTCGCCAATCTTATAGGTACCGGGTGGGGGTGGGGCCGGGGACGCTGAGCGCACGGACTTGGTGCCGGGACGGAAGTTGAAGCTCTGCGTGAGGCGGCCCAAAAACCCCGGACCTTGCTGTGCCTCGGCTGCGGCCTTCTCGCGCTCAGCCTTGGCCTCGGCTGCAGCCACCTCGAGCTCCTCCTTTGTCGGTGGACGCTCCGGTCCTTCGGGGTCCGAGACGAGCCCCACGAAAGTACCGGCCGTCCGCAGAGAATCTGTAGCTGTACTAACCCAGCGCTTGGCCCATGAGTGTGGCTCGGGCTCATCCCGTCCACGTCCATGCGCCCAGAAGCTGATGATGACATGCTCACGCCCTGATACAGGATGCCGCACCAGGCGATGCTGAATCGGCGCTGTTCCGCGCGTTGGTGCTGCTGAATGCGGCGAGTGTGTGAATGCAACTGGAGGCAGGAGATGGCGGTCAAGCTAGGGTCAGCGGCTCTATGTACGCAAACGGCAAAAGACGTTCTGCACTTACCGCGTCAGACCCGCGGATCATGTCAATGCACTCTGAGTACAAGACGCTGGGCGAATTCTTGGCAAAGAGCTCGGTACTGAGCGCAATCGCGAGGACGACGAAAAGCCCAGCGCCCGCCAGCACGATGAAAAGATTGCCAGACTGGCGCACCATGCGACCAACTGCCGTCAGCTCTCTTCCAAAAGCAACTCACGCTTCCCTCCAACCCCGAGGTCACGCCATGGTGCCCATGTCTTGGTGCGGGCAGCGGCGCCAGCTCCAAGCGGAAAGGGCCCCGCATGATCACGCGCGGCTTCGTCTGCGGCTCCACGCCTCCGCGCCTCAGCGGCCAGACGATCTAGCATTTCGGCAGTGCTCTCTTGACTTCCTCCACGGCCCGAGTAATGCTCCGGACGCGCGAAGGAGCGCGCGGAATTGGAGAGGAGGCGGGCTGAGGGAAGGGTAGAGAAGGGAGGACGAGTGATGGAGAGTGGAATGAGGATGACTCGTTGGCCAAGGCCAGCGCACAGTGGCGCGAGGCGGAGAGCTGGCCGCATGCTGGATGAGTTGCGGATCGATTGAGAATGGAATGGACGATGGCGCACTTGGCGGATATCGACTGCTGTTGGGATCTTCTGAGAACAGCAGCGGCTGTGGAGATCTGCTCCCGCTAAAGGAAAAGCCATATCTATAAGGATTGTTGCATTAATGACGTCGGTGTTGTCACCAGCCTCGCCTCAATCCCATCTTATCTGCTCCAGCTTTGTTTGTGTCACTACTCCATTCGTCCATCCATATCATAACCAGCTCCCCACATGTCGACGCGCTCCATATCCAGGACACCTTCGATGGCCAGCCTCCCCGGGACGCCCTACAGCTTTGGCGGCGAGGAGGGGACTAATGCCAAACTCCAGCATCTCGCGACGCAGTTCGTTACTCACACGGTGACCACTCGCGCACAGCTCAAGGCACTCGGCGAGGAAGTCAGCCAGATTTTAAAGATGCAGGAAGAGGTGAATTCTCTGGCGCGCGCACAAGAGTCTAGGTGAGCACCATGCCTTGGGCTGGGGTCTGGTGAAGAGCGGAGGAGTTTGCGGTGATGAGGAAGGCAGGAAGGTGCTGGTAACGAGGCCCAACTATGAAGCGTCTTGGGGAGAGCAGCAGCTGACATCAGGCGCCAGAACCGCGTGCGTGCGCTCGCTGGCTTGGAACTGGTCCCCATCACTCTCCGCGATCCACCACCGAAACTTCCCGTGAGCTACCCACATACTTGCATTTAACAGTAGGCGATCTCTTCGCTTTCGGCGTTAGAGAAGATGTCCGCCTCCGAGCTCACGGGCTGGTACGGGTACTACACCTCCGCGTCCACTCCGCCTCCCAGAGAACGACAAACCCTTATTGCCGCACTCACCGCTGAGATCGGCCTCTCGCCGCCCCCACCGCCTTCTTACGCGCAGGCTACCACACCTATGCAGGTAGTCGCTAAGCCTGTTGTCTCCTTAGCCCCATCGCCAGTGTTTTTGAAATGGGCGGCTGTGCTGGGCGTGCTAGTTGCCATCCTTGGCCTGAGCATCGTCAACCGCGATAATGGCGCGCTCCAGAACATACTGCAACAGATCGTCCAGATTATCGGCCAGTACCTTCTTAAGACAAGCCTGTTCGTGCAGAACGCCAGTGTCAAAATGCTCGCGGGTGCCGAAGCATGGGGGTCGGCGCTGCGCGCAACGCGGGTCGGCACTGTACGTCTCGACAACCCCGCGTGAGGCAAGACCAACGAGTTTGTCAATCGCCGGACCAATGTTCTTAGATTCATAGATGTTGCTCATATGGTGTATGTACAGATCGCATCGCAGGCGGCGAGCGGTGATGACGCCGAGCAGCGGGGATCCCCGCCCCGCACCACAGCCATGCCATGCCATGTTGGAGGTGGGAAATTGGTTCCGTTGCCACGTCCCTGTCGACATCTCTCGCGCTTCTCCATTTCGTGTCGCGAGCCGCCATCCCGCAACAACAACACAATCACTATGTCCGAGAGCGTCAAGGAGCTTGCCGACATCCCCCAGTCCTTCGTTAGGGAGGGCATGCACGTGAGTTTGCACTGGCGCGGGTGCGCGGGTTTTTCTTGACCGCTGGTCCGCATCCACCACGCTAGCAATCTGCGACTGCTCAGCTGACTCCAGTTCATGAACCGCTGCACCAAGCCTTCTAAGAACGGTGCGTCGCGCACGAGTCTGAACGCTGCGATAGCGCGCACTCCGGTAGCGCCGGTCGCTATGCCCGGCGACAGGATGGAAGAAGCTTACACCAGAGTACATCCAGCTGTGCCGAGCCGTCGGGGTCGGGTTTTTGGTGATGGGCTTCATCGGATACTTTGTCAAGGTGAGTCTCGTTGTGGGTGAGGAGGGTGCGCGTGCGGTTGAGAGCTTTGCGAGAAGTTGGATTATGTTTGCCAGAACTAGGTGGCAATTTACAGGGAGAGGGTGTGCTCGCGACGGTTCGCAACGGCGACGTTTGTTGCCGGATCGTTTTCCGCTCTGAGAAGAGGTGATCCTACTTCACACGATGGAAGTGGAGAGATATGACGCGAGCTGTGCTGTCTGCAATTGCGCTGGCGGGACGACAACGCGGTAGAGGGGGGCATATGATGGCGCAACTCTCCTGTGTGACCTTGGGTCCTCTTACGCAATGCTAACGCTAGCTCATCCACATTCCCATCAACAACATTCTTGTGTGAGCCTGCTGCTTTTCCTTGGACCTTACTGACATACAGCGGCGGAGCATAGATACAGTCCTTACAGAGAGAAGGTGTATTTGTATACCTGAGTCGTGGACAAGGCGAGGCCTAGAGGAGCTGCAGTCAGTTGCACGTAATCACTGACGACAGTACGGTCTCAGCAAGAGCAATGGCCAGCCCTAGCCGCGGCCTGCGGAGTGGACTTCCTGTGCGGCCGATGCGGGGCCGTCATATACTAGACTGAGCTATACAGGCACGTGGAATGGGCAAAGGCATCAGCAGGCGTTCTCACATGTGGCCGCGGATGGCGACATAACTCGAGGACCAGGCGATATCCGGCGGCATAGATGCTGCACATTGCGCATCGCGTGCTGTGGGGCACAATCGCCGCGCAATCGTGGAGAGTAAACCTCGACGCATGTGACAAGAAGCGAGAGGTGCAAAAGACTTGTTTCCAAAGCGTCCTGAGCGCAGTGCTTAGCCCACCCACCATCCCGACACCGCACGCATCGCACAAGTTCAATTTACATGATACAATTCAGTGATGCTACAAGCGCCTCGATCAGAGCCACTAATCCTCTCATTAATGTGACTCAGCCATGTTTACCACCCGACGTCGCCTCCCTGCCAGCGCTCAATGGTGAGGCCAGTCTGCCCAAGAGGCTTGGTGATCACCCAGCGCTCGAGGTCGTACGTCTCGTATGCACCGCGCGCCTGCTTCATGGCTTCGATGTGCTTGGGCCCAGATATGGCGTTGACGGCGTGCTTGCGCGACTGCCAAATGCAGGTGGCGAGATTGAGCCCGGTCTCGTCTGGCACGCCGTACCAGTACATGACAAGGCCGCCGTTCATGACAGCCTCGGCATGTGCAGCGCGGTCGGCGGCGTACAGAAAGAGGCTGGAGGACTCGGGCCGGCGGCGCGAGCGGAAGACGACGCCGTACCACTCGCGCTCAACATCCTCAGGAAGGCCGAGCTCTTCCCAATTGAAAGCGTCGGGATACTCGCGCGCTGCGTACTTGTTGTCGAGAGGGCGGAAGAAGTGGAGCGCCTGGTGCAGGAAGAGCGAGGCAGGGTCAATATCTGGCAGACGAGTGTCAAACTCAGTGCTGTGCTCGGAGAGGTGCTCGTGTGCCTGCGGCAGGCGAGAAAGGAGCGGGGGCAGGTAGAGAATTGGGTCGGAGTGGGGCACAGTCTCCGCGATTGCCGGGGGAGGGTGGTGATGCGCCTGGAAGACGGGGGCGGCGAGGGTGGTTGCGCTCACGCGGCGTCCAGCGACAGCCGGGAGGGAGGGAGTGGGGGGAGGGCTTGTGTCGTTGAGGTTGGGCAGCGCTTTGGGTGAAGCATCGCGCCCGCGGCCGGTTGGGACATTTTGCTCAGCGCGCCCTCTGTGTTCGGCCGGAGTGGACAGGTACTCGGGTGCAGAGGAGGGGATGTCGATGGCCTTGGAAGTGGTGGGCGAGCGCTCACGCTCGAGGTGTAGTGCGCGTGAGTGTGGCGAAGGGGCAGTAAGAGCAGCCATGATGAAGCAGCGAGTTGTAGGTGGCGAAAGAGTGAAGGGCAGTGATAAAGCTTTTATGTACCAGCGGCGCACGTCGTCGCTGGGCAGAATTGCGCCGTGCACTGTGGAGTCGGTCAGCAAGCATGGCGCCATTGACAGCCTCGGTAGCGCTGTTTTGTTGGGTGATCGCCAGGGATTAGTGAGCCAAGATTAGTGGGATTAGGGTGCGCGAAAGTCTGGACAACAGGCCAAGCTGGGACGGAAATGGCCCAGGGTCAGCACGTGACGTTGATCATTGACAACTGGGCGTGATTTACAACGCGGGAGGGAGCTAGAAGGCACGACATGGCGACTATGTTCGACGAGTATGGCGGTGGTGTGCGCCAGGCCGAGGACGGTGCGGAAATGGCAATCCATCGCGTGCCGGCACGTATTGTCAACGTCGCCCCTCATTTCCCATGATCGTCGTCTAAGCGTCGCCCTAGTTAAGAAATAGTCCACCTGCGCGCCTGCCACATGGGACGGAAAAACTCCGGCGATTAAGCGGAGACAGAGCACACCCCGTGTCACGTGACTCCTCGCGTCCTCCACTCCACAGACGTCACTGCGCCGTTGCGGCATGGCCACCACCTTCTTCGCTGACGCGGCTACCCAACGTATTTCTTTCCCCATCACCTGGCGCTACGGGCGTTCTGGATTGGTATCCTAACTGCAATGGCGGACCCTCTCGACTCGCGCGCGCTCCTGGCGCTCGTTACCTCCGTCGCTCCGTCTGTTCACGGCAGCTCACCTCTTCCCCGCACGACGGATGCTGCTGCTGCCCTCGTTCATGTCATTCACGTGGCGCTTGACTTTCGCCTTGCTCCCAGTACTCCGACACAAGCAGACGTCGCGGCGGGCGCACAAGATGATCTCACAGAAGCAGCTGGAGATGGGGACAACGATGACGCCCGGTCTGAGACAACGACCGCCGTCGACCCCGACGAGGGCCCAGTGTCTGAGAACGTCCTCCCGGCCTCGTGGAATGCACGAGGCGAAGACTCGTACATGTTCGAGTACCGGCATCCACAAAGTGCGATGACGTTTCGTGTGCGGGTCGGCCGAATGGGTAACCGCATCCAGGTCGATGCCATGCCTGAGGTGAGTTTTGTGGGTGCCGCGGAGCGAGTCGTGCAGAAGGGAAATTGGGACCCCAGAGGTTCAAAGGCAGTTTCGATTGCTAAGGTGTTTTATTTTGACTGTACCGGATCGTTGGGAAGTTTGCCGACCGAACACCCAGCCGGCGGCGGACAGTCAGCGGTGCTTCCGATACACCCTTACCCTATCTCGCGACCCATCGCTTACAGGCAGGACGGAGTTCCGCACACTATCTCGCTAGTCGTCAACGACTTGCTGGACCCCTCAGCATTCCCGGTTCCTTCCGGGCAAGCCGCCAATGCTGAGGGCGAGGCGCAAGCCCACGCCCTCGGTTTCCGCTCCTTGGATGCGTACGTATCTCTGACGACGTCCTTGTCTTCACACCAGCGCACCGAGCCACTGGCTCACTGGCGCGACTGGAATAGCTGCTGACCGCAGTGTGCGCACGTTTGTTGCCCAGTATAACCGCGAAATCATTGCACGCCTCATCCCCGGTTTGCAGAAGGATGGTTATCGGGCACCGTGAGTCACTCCCCCTTATCTATCGCCACCCCGATTTCTGACTGGACAGCCAAACTACCTCTGCCCCTGGGCCCTCCTCTCAACGTGATCGCCCACCGCAGCAGCCCGAACCCAGCGGCGGGCCTGCGCGGCCCTCTCCTTTTCATGACCCCCTGCATCCAGCCGCCGCGCCTGCCGGGGTCCCAGCTGCCTCGATAGGGCACCGCGACCTAGACCCGATGGGCGGGCGTATCGGCCCGGGGTTCAGCCGCCCTGATTTTGACCGCGGCGGTGGAATGCTCGTTGACTTCAACCATCCTCTGTTCGATGGCCGACGAGGCGGACAGCAGCAAGGGCCAGGGGGGAGTATCAACCCAGCTGGTGCACGTTGGGATCCAGTGGGACCTGGTGGCCCGCTCGGCCCGCGTTTCCCTTCTGCAGGAGGCAATCCTCTTGGTGGTTTTGGAGTAACTGACCCCGAGTGGGGAGATGAGATGCCTCCGCCAGGCGAGCGCGGGCCAGACCTCAGTGGGCGCTTTGGACCTCGTCGCGGTGGTGGCGGAGGGGGCGGCCTTGGCGGGCCGGGGATGGGCGGGGGTTTCGGCGGACTGGGCGGATTTGGTGGCGGACGAGGAGGGGGTGGGTTCGGCGGGGGAGGGGGCATGTTCATGTGAGCCGCGGATCAACCATGCAACGGCCATCAAGCTTCCGGTTTGCCGCGGCCAGAGGAGCCGGCGCCTGGAGCGTGCTTGTCACGGTTTACGGGACGGGGGGTCGGACATGCGGAGAGCGGGCGGGCAGAATAAAGACAGGCAGTGGACGGGTGGAAATCGGGGTGGAAATACGCCGTCTGGTATCTCGGCCAAGAGTGGACTGTACATGGAGTCATGCATCAAAATTGTGTACGCCGCAGCGCTCCCAAGTTGCTGCTGCTGAACTGCTGACCCGTGCAGCTGGGTTTTTTCAGACCTCTACCAGCATGCGTGGCAACGATGAGCGTGCGATTGTTTCGGCGTGATTGCAGGGCCTTGTCGATCGCCCCGAGCGCGCCGTGTCTTCCGGCTTTCGGGTCACGCTATCGCAATGCAACGCCGGATGTTGATTCTGCCGCCATGGCATCATGATGGAGGACTACCCCTCCGATGACGCGCCAACCCGCCATGTAGATCGACATGTACTTGCGTCTGGGAGCGTGCATGACTTTCGTTGGGGAAAGGAGAGGTGGAGGCGGCAGATGTTGAGCAGCTGACGTGAAGCGAAGCGGCAGTTGACATGGATCGTGCACATGCGCCCGCATCAGGCCCGCATGCCTAATACGGCATACCGAGCATACCGTGGCGAGCACAATGGCATGCGGATGCCTCCTTGCATGGGTTTCAGAGCTCCAAGCTGCGAGCCAGGCGGGGCCATCAGCGTGGTGTCGAAAATGCACACATGCATGCACAAAGGTTCCGAGACCTGCCGAAGCGCAAGCGCGAAAGATTGGTATCGGGTCGAACAGCCCGATCCATGCGATACCGTCTCCCTTATCCACTGCCGGATTTGTGCTTTTGGGTGCATTGTCCGGCTCTCCGGCTGTACCATTATGCTATCCGGCGAAGCTCTTCTCCGAGTCGAGTTCTAGCGAGCACAAGACGTCAGAGCAAGTGGACGGAGTGGAGCGAGCGTCATGCGGCGTGGGCAGACTTGAACATTGCGCTAAGCCAAGGCAATTTTGCTCCAAGATCATGACGACGACGACAACGAACGTGATGCCATCTGCCATGGCAGCTCGCCTCGCGGCATATGCAGCGGTCCATGCGAGATCGGCACGCGCGACACTGGCACTCTTTTACCCCGCCGAGCCTACGCACGGGCCTGGCAGTGGCGTTCGGCCGCGCCATTGTCGATGCAGTATCGCGAAACGTGCTATCTCTTGTCTTGGAGCGAAGCCGCCCGGGCGGGGAATAGGGCAAACATGTGCCAGACGTCGGGCCGGGAACCCCGAGTGACCGGTGACTTTTGGCTCAGTTCACGCCCTGGGTGGAGCCGGACGTCGCCTGCGCCGCCCACCGGTTAAGTCGGCGACTACGACCCACCCAGAATTCTGCTTAAGTCTAGCCCGCTCTGGCATCCTTGTCTCTCCTCATCACATCGCTATCTCTGGATCTCATAGACCACCACTGGACCACTAGACCTCTATAGACTTTTTAAGACGTCGACTCTGTCGACCATCTCGCGCACCCATACCACCCGCGTCGACTACACTCGACCCATCGCCGATTCTCCGCCTCCACCCACATCTGCTTATCAACATGGACGACCTCATCGCAACGCTCAACGGCGGGATGCACGTCTCGCAGGAGAGCTCCGAGCTCGAGATGTTCAAGGCTACGCTCGCTCGGGCTCTCCCCGCCGCACCTAAGGCCCACCGCGGCTCCATCTCCCTCCACGCCCCCTCCTTCGCCACCTCGTTCCAGGAGCAGCCGCTCTACTACATCCGCGAGGACTCGCCGGCACCGCCGTACGAGGCCCACACCCAGCACGTGCCCTTTGATGAGGATATGGACCTCGAGGCCGCCTTCGCCGGCGATGCCTTTGCACCCCTCCACCAGACCAAGCAGGAGGATGTGTGGGCCGCCTTCCGCCCCGACGCGAGGCCTGCATTCTCGTTTTTTGGTGGCGAGAAGCAGCAGCCTGCAGTTGCGACTTTCCAGTTTCAGATCCAGCAGCAGAAGCAGCAGCAGAAGCACCAGCAGCCTCAGCCCCCAGCGCCACAGTACCAAACGGACGAGGATGCCGCCGAGGCCATGATCACCGACGAGTAAATTCCTCGCTTGGAACAGATCTGGCTGCCTCGCTTGAGCGATCGTCGCTTGCATGAGCCGCCTTGGCGCGCACATGGCACACGCATTGCGTCCACCACATCACCATACACGGCGGTACGGCGAGTTGTACGGCCCGCTCGGCTCGGATCGATTCCGCCCGGGCGACCGATGATTTTCCACGGCCACCCCACCCCCGCGTCGGGATCCCCATGGGCGGATCCCTGAATCGGCACACCCGCCCGCAATGTGGCACCGCGCGGAAAATTGCAATCGGCCCGGAGCTCGCCAATATCGTCTCGAAGTGACTATCCACCTATCCATCCCCGGTTCCCGCTCAAACCCCGAACAACATCACTTCTCTTGCGTTTTGTTGAACACTGGAACTTTGTTGCATAACCATTGTCTCCACCAGTCTCGTTGTACACCTCGACTTTGTGTTCATTCCCGCGGCTTCGACTCTCTTCAGACATAGATTAGCATCTTCACCGTCAAGCACAACTACCAACCACGTTGTATATTATAGCTCTACCTTCGACAAGCATGCAAAGCAAACCCATTACCTTCACGCTCAGTTCTGCTTAGCTCTGTTCAGTACGGGCTGTTGACAATGTTGCTGCGCGAATCGCCACCTTGGCGCAACTTGGACACCGGAGTCGTCAGCGAAGCGCGCGATGGCGCAAGAGAGTTGCGCGTCGCCTTGGACAGCTGATTCTTGTTGGCCATGAGGACGTTGTGCTCGAGCGCAACAATGATGTTCTTGTCGGCGCCATACTTGAAGTTGTCGGCCACCACACGCGAGTCATATTTCTGACGTCAGTCCCGCGATACTCCACCAAGGCATCCTCCTGAATCTCACCTTGATCTGGTAGTCATCGGTGCGGCCCTGCTTGAGGCGGCGGAAGTTCCAAGTGATGATGTACTTGCCCGTCGACGTCACAATCGTCTTTTCAGCCTCGTTTATGCCAGTGTTGAAGCGCGCCGGTGTGAACGAGACAGGGTCCTCCATGTACGCTACATGCTCCGGCTTGAGCTGCAGGCGGCGTGGCACCGGCTTGCTGTCGGCGGGGAAGCTGCGGTCGAAGCCGAGCGACCCCTTGTACCGCCCATCCCCGATAAGAGTGTCGATAAGCAGCAGGTACGTCTTGCACGTCGCAACAACCCATCGTCCGTCGGCCGACACATCTACACCAATGATCGGATCTCCGAGCGGCGGCAGGGCCGTCTTGGCATTCTTGCCAATCGTGTCGAAAAGGCGGATGTCACCCTTGTTGGAGGCGACAGCAAGCTTTCCCGATTCCGTCGTCGCAGCCGCCGAGAAGTCATTCTTCGAAACGTACTGCTTGAATTGTGATTCCACCAGCTTGTTACCTGCCACACGGGGGTCAATTCGGAAGATGCCGTTGTGCGAGTGGCCGATGAGGGTCTGCTGCGGGTTCATCTGGGCGTACTTTGAGCTATTGTTAGCGACCAATCCCGCTGTTCTGCCTAGTATACGCACTCTGGAATAATGTTATTAACCTCAACATCGTCCGACACCTTCCACTCATCCACAATCTTGCCATACTCTAGGTCCATACGGTAGACCGAATTCTTCTGCAGAGGGTCAAGCATGAGCATATCGGCGTCTTGGTTGTGCAACATTATCTGCGGTCAGGCCGGGTGTCGCATTGAGGCTCACCTTATTCGGGGTGAAGTTGTTCCCGTCCATACCCTTGATGCGGTCGATGGCGGTGCGGAATTTGACTTTGTCGCGATCATGTGCGAAAACGCCAATCATGTTACCACGAGTGACGAAAGACATGTCGTTCTTGTAACCGACAGCCAGCATCTCGTTCTTGCTCTCGCGCCCGAAAGCCTCGTCCTGGCTGTCTTCCTCCTCATACTCCTCCTCACTCTCAGAGTAATCATCCTCTTCCTCCTCTGCCGGAGGCTCGGGTTCCTCATCTGCGTCGGCCATCTCGACATCACCGTCATTGTACGCGTCCTGGATGTAGCGCTGTTCAACGGGCTTTTCCTTGGCGTATGGAAGCTTGTTGCTATTCTCCCACATGTAGACGGCAAACTTATCCTTCCACTCCGAGAAGACGTCCTCGCTGAAACGAAGGCACCAAGTCATGCCCGGAAGGCCCTCGGTTTCACGGAACGTGAACATGAAAGCCCGGTTCGCGATATCGAAACGAGGGTTCATCTCAGCGTCGATGGGGAGCGAGATAAACGGCGTCTTGTTCTTGCGCACGACGATCCACGCTGCGGTCAGAATTTTCTTCTAAGGAGACATGTGACTCACTGTCGTAGTTGCCATTCGACAGCATATCGACGCTGACCTCCTTTTCCTGAATCACGAAGACGTCGGCATCCAGGTCGAAGAGGTAGAGCTCAGCTGGCGCGCGATGCAGGATCGGGATGCCTTCGAAGGGGTCCTCGCCGTCCGCCTCCTCCTCCTCCTCATGCGCCTCAGCCTGCGCCGGAGACACTGCAGTATCTACTGCTGTAGCAGTGGGAGTGCTAACAGCGGCAGGTTGGGGCGCGGGGGTTGACACCGGGTTGGTGATCTTCAGAGGGGAAGTCGGCGCAGACCTGGGCTTGGGGTCCTCGTAATACTTGAGCGCCTCGAGGTCATCATCACTCGCAAGGTCGTGAGATTCCGAGTATTTCTGGGGTCAGAGAGCCTTGAGCGATCGCATACCCTTTCATAGATGCATTGCAGGAGGGTGACTTCGAACATCTTGCATGTCGCGTTTCCTACGGTCTGATATCAGCTGGGCGTGGTTTACGACACTCACTTTGTTGGCAATAAACTCCCAGAGGTCGCCTTCGTCGCCGCTCAGATCCCTCCAAGCAAATGTTGCGTCCCCGTCCAACGACCCGAAGCGGAACCCGAGAGCCTGGTCGATCAAGAAGACACGCTCGTCATCGCCTGCTGTCAGTGCTGCAGATCGCTGCCGGACCAGAACATACTCTCTGCGTCCTCCTCAAGCAGTTGCTCCTCGCCCTCCTCGTATGCACGAGTAACGACCAGCTGATATTGGAACTCGACGCCGGTGCGGCGGATAGTGGCGACACAGTCCTTGAAGCTGGCATCAGCGGCGATCACGGAGAGGGACGCACATGCACTCGCGGGAACCCTTGATGCTGTCAGGCCGCACAAGGTAGAGCTGCCCAGCGGGGATTTGAATAAGCTCGGGGTTTGATGGGTTTCCTGTAGGTGAGCGTGTAGGAGAGCGCGGCGACATACCCCACATCTGCCCAAACACTGACGAGGTCAACAGGTTGCAGCAAAGGATGTAATCTACTCACAGGACTTGAGAACGAACATGGCCCAAGTTATGTCGGTGTCTCTGGAGTGGTCCAGTGGAGCGCGTCGACGCGTATAAAGATGCAAGGAGGGTGACGGAGATGATGGGAGGTAGCGTGACGGTGAGGAAGACGAGTGTGATGATGAGTGTGAGTTGTGTTTGACCCCGCCATGCCCGCCGTCAGGAGCTTGTGCCTGCTAATAGGACTATTACAATAGTTAGCTACTGCCGGGTGGCGAATCCAATAGGATAGGAATAAACTGACATCATCGTCACGTGACTCTGAATCCGAGTTGACTTCCATCCATGGACGCACTCCTATCTTCAACTCACAGTCGTTGAAGAAGTCCCACTTACGGCCTTTCCTGTAGTCTCTTCGTCAAACTTGACAAACTTGACAGCAGAACACCTACTCACGCCAACACCTCGTTGCAATCTTGCAGTCGCGTCGCCTTCAGTTTGGCCGCAGTCTCATCAGTAATAATGTCACCGGCGTCGACCACAATGCTGCATCTGTCATAAGGAAAGATCCTGCACGCTACGACGGACAGGGACCCGTGGGCCGTCAGTCACAGTCTGTTCAAATGCAGCACCAACTTGAGCACAGGCATCAGCACCAGCAGGGGATCCCTGGGCTTGCTGAGTCGGGGTCACCTTGCCCAGCTTTCAACGGACGCGAGTGACCCTCTCACAAGTGAACGCTAGCCATTTGTGCTCACCCATTACTCAACAAGCATTACTCTCGAGCGTCCCGTGACTGCACACGCGTCAAGCCCGGTGCAGCTGTCGCCGTTATCTCGCGTCCCTCCTCCGTTGTACTACGTTGTTGCATGTATCACATCATACACTATGACACAAGTATCGTATCCAACGGCCCCTCTAGAAGTGTAGACCTCTTCGCAGGTCGTAGTCGTGCAGCCGTGGAGTAGAGGTGCATCGAAAAGAAGTAAGAGAGTGAATGAACGCACCCATGACGTTCAACGGGGCCACGTGGTAATTGACGGGATCAAACCTGGAGACGCGCGTTGATGAGTGCGGTCATCCATGTTGCTGGGGTCATCCACATCAACTCTCCAATCTTCAACAACAGTCGCTCACCAACACGACTCATCATGGTGAGGACAGAATCTGCTTAGATGCGGATGTAACTACTTCAGCTGACACCCAGGGACAGGCTCCATCCAGTGGCAAGGGTGCCGGACACAGGAAGGATGATAAGGTGCGCAAGCCAGGCGGACCTCTTGCCGCGGTCGTCACTGACAAAGCAGAAGAAGGCTGCCCCGCCCAAGTGGGAGCCGCCAGTTCCCACGCGCGTAGGAAAGAAGAAGAGGCGCGGTCCGGATGCGGCGACGCGCCTTCCGCCCGTGTTCCCAACGACGCGCTGTAAGCTCAAGATGCTCAAGATGGAGCGCATCAAGGACTATCTGCTGCTGGAGGAAGAGTTCTTGACGAATGCGGCGTTGACGGCGGGCGAGGATCGGACCGCGGCAGACCGGACACGCGTCGACGAGCTGCGTGGGGCGCCAATGGGTGTCGGCACCCTGGAGGAAATTATCGACGACGACCACGCAATTGTCACGCTGGGGAGCGGCCCGGAGTACTACGTTGGCATCATGTCGTTCGTCGACAAGGATTTGCTCGAGCCTGGATGCTCGGTACTTCTGCATCACAAGACGCACTCCATCGTCGGCGTCCTTGCGGACGATGCAGACCCCATGGTGTCGGTGATGAAGCTCGACAAGGCGCCGACCGAGAGTTACGCCGACATCGGTGGCCTGGAAACCCAAATCCAGGAAATTAAGGAGAGTGTCGAGCTCCCTCTCACCCACCCCGAGCTGTATGAAGAGATGGGTATTCGGCCACCTAAGGGTGTTATTCTTTACGGCGTGCCCGGTACTGGCAAGACGCTGCTCGCCAAGGCAGTCGCCAATCAGACGTCGGCCACCTTCCTCCGCATTGTCGGCTCCGAGCTTATCCAGAAGTACCTGGGTGACGGCCCGAAGCTTGTGCGCGAGCTGTTCCGCGTAGCTGAGGAGCACGCGCCGAGTATCGTGTTCATCGACGAGATCGACGCTGTAGGCACCAAGCGTTACGACTCGACCTCAGGTGGCGAGCGCGAGATTCAACGTACCATGCTGGAGCTGCTTAATCAGCTTGACGGCTTCGACGAGCGTGGCGACGTCAAGGTTATCATGGCCACGAACCGGGTGAGTTCAAGTGTCGAAGTCCGCTGTGCCGTTGCTCATTGCAGATCGAGTCCCTGGATCCGGCTCTCATTCGTCCTGGTCGTATCGACCGCAAGATTGGTGCGCAGCATCTCCCCTTCTCAGCTGACACCAGAATTCCCCCTTCCTGACACGAAGACGAAGCGCCACATCTTCAAGCTGCACACATCGCGCATGTCGCTTGCCGACGATGTCGATCTCGAGGAGCTGGTCATGACCAAGGACGACCTCTCGGGCGCCGACATCAAGGCCGTGTGTACCGAGGCGGGTCTACTTGCGCTGCGCGAGCGCCGTATGCGCGTTACCAAGGAGGACTTTACCCAGGCGCGCGAGAAGGTCTTGTACCGCAAGGATGAGAACACGGTGAGTTCCGGCCCGTCGTGCCCATGTGATGTAGCGCTGACCGCCAGCCTGCGGGATTGTATCTGTGAGGTAGCGCGAGGGTATCACAACGCATGCATAGGTGTCTGTATACATGATCCAGACCGCGATTTCCCTTATGCTTAGCCTGCTCGTTGTTCAACGGACACTGACACTCACTGCTAAAACACACGGAACTGTATGTCGCCTCCGACACCTCGTCCGAATAGCGCGGCCCTCATCAGTGGCGCCCCTCTCTTGCCGCTCTAAGAAGTGATGCATGCCCTACGGCTTACGCCTTGACGCCAGTCCACATGGTCGCGACGCCAAAAGTGTAGTCCTGCCACGCGCCGCCCTTGCCCTCACGCATCGCACCCGTCTGGAAGCCAGCGTCGCGGACGAGTTGCGCAAAGTCGGCCTGCGACGGGAACCGCTCGATGCTCTCGACGAGGTACTGGTAGCTGGCGTGGTCGCCGGCGATTACCTGACCAAGGACAGGAATCACCTGGAACGAGTACTGGCGATACACCTCCTTGAGAAGGGGATTGGACACCTTGCCAAACTCGAGGACGCCAATGCGGCCTCCAGGCTTGAGCACGCGATACGCTTCAGAAAGCACGGCGGGGAGCGATGTGCAGTTGCGGATCCCAAACGCGATGGTGTACAAGTCAATCGAGTTGTCCTCGATGTGGGCGGGAAGCGCCTGCGCATTGCCGTGTGTGAACGTGATCTGAGGGGCTGATGTCAGTTTGCACTTCCTTGTTCACTCACTGTTGTAGTACATAGTTTGCGCAACGCGCTTGCGCCCCTCGTGCAGCATGTCGGGGTTGAGATCAACGACCTCAACCTCGATGTCGCGGGAGCCAAACTTCTCGCGCGCGCGGTCGAGAATACGCAGCGCAATGTCGCCCGTTCCGCCGGCGACGTCAAGACACTTGAACGTCGGGTTGGTCGCCTCAGGCGCTGGAGCAACGCCCGGCCGCGCAGGGTTACGGTGTACGCTCGCTGGGAGGCGGGGGAGCATGGTCGACACAAAGTCGTCCTTCCACAGCCGGTGGATGCCGAGCGACATGCTGTCGTTCATGACATCGTACTTGGACGCGACGGAGGAAAAGACAGATCCGACAAGCGTCTCCTTGTCAGTCTCCGGCACCTCCTGGAAGCCGAAGTGGGTGGTGCGGGGCTGGCTTGGGCCAGCAGCGGGGGAGGAAGCAAGAGTCGCGCCAGCCTGGGCGTGAGGTGCCGGAGGCGATGGAGGCGTGGACTGTTGCGCTGGGGACGCGGGCGGCGTTGAGCCAAGAGTCGCGCCGGGCGCGCCAGCGGCGTTCGAGATCGCGCGAACCTGCACGCGGGGCAGGCGGATATGACGAGCGAGGTTGCGACTCATGATGAATGTGTTGTCACCGAAGTATGCCTGCAGCATCGGGTCCGATCAACTCAGTCTGGAAAAACAGGTCTAATGTGGACACCATTAGCGGGTGCATTATCTCCCAATCGGCGTCGGGGTCCTATTCTAATGGACCCACGTGACACCCTCCACCCTGCACCGGTTCCAAAATCTTGGTCGGCGGCAGTCATCATCGCCCAACTCACACTAGACGGCCCAAGCAACATGGTGAGCTCAGCGGAGTGATGCTGGAGAGACGAGCCGTTCTGACAGAAGCGTCGCACTAAGCCCTCGGGCGCTGGCCTCGGAAAGGCTCTCATCAACCGCAAGGCCAAGGAGGCTTATGCACCGAAGGAGTCGCAGTTGGTAAGCCACTCTTCATATCGACTCAACTGACGGCAGTACTCCCTTGACGACAACAACCCGCTGGCTTCGGTCACGCACGAGCGTGACCTTGACGAGTTTCTCGCCAATGCCGCACTCGCTGACCACGACTTCACAACAGGTGAGTGGCGACTGCTTGTTTACTCGAAGGCATCTAACGTCAGAACGCTCAAAGATTCGTATCATTCAGCAGGTCGGCGGTGTGATGCCCCAGGCAAACCCGTATCTCCTCTCAGACGCCGAGGAAAAGCGAGTCGAGAAGAAGCAAGAGGAGGCGCGGAAGGATCTGCATGTCCCCCGGCGACCGCCCTGGACGCGTGCGACCACGAGGCAAGAGCTCGAGAAGCAGGAGCGCGAGTCCTTCCTGGACTGGCGCCGGCAGCTCGCTCACCTCGCTGAGGACAGCTCTTTACTGCTCACTCCTTTCGAGCGCAACATCCAGCTTTGGCGACAGCTGTGGCGTGTCATTGAGCGGTCGCATCTCGTTGTTCAGATTGTCGACGCACGGAACCCCCTCGGCTTCCGCTGTGCCGATCTCGAGGAGTACGTGCTCGACGTAGGCAGTGAAGAGATGGGTGACGAGACGACCGTCCCAGGCAAGGGCAAGCGACGAAACTTGCTACTCATCAACAAGTCGGATTTGCTCACGTACGAGCAGCGCTGCATGTGGGCCGACCACTTTGAGAAGATTGGCATCAAGTATGCGTTCTTCTCTGCGGTGGCTGCGGCGGCTGCCCAGGAGGAGCTTGATGCGCAGGAGCGGCGCGAGGAGGATTCGGATTACGGATCCGAGGACGACTCGGCGTCTGAGGCGGACGAGGAGGACAAGGAGGCCGAGGACAATGGGGTGACTGAGGACGACGAGGACTACGTCACCGAAAGCGATGAGGAGCCCATCTCCAAGAACAAGGGCAAGCAGCGCGCTACCGTGGAGGACGAGGATATCGCCGAGGACGTCGCTGAGGCTCTGAAACAGACAACACTCGAGGAAGCCAAGCAGCAGAAACCCGCGGGGCCGGCTCAACCAGAATCTGACCGCACGCGCGTGCTGTCTGTCGCAGAACTTGAACACTTGTTCATCTCCTCGGCGCCGCCCCTTTCCGACTTTGCCACCGAGCGTGATCCCAACCCATCCAAACTCATGATCGGTCTGGTCGGCTACCCGAACGTCGGCAAGTCTTCCACGATCAACGCCCTCATCGGCGCCAAGAAGGTTTCAGTCTCGGCGACGCCAGGAAAGACGAAGCACTTCCAGACGCTCGTGCTCACTGAGGATATCACGCTCTGCGACTGCCCCGGTCTCGTTTTCCCTCAGTTCGCCAACACGCAGGCCGACCTCGTGTGTGACGGTGTGCTGCCTATCGACCAGATGCGCGAGTACTCGGCACCCGTTGACCTGGTTTGTCGCCGCATACCCCGTGCCATTCTCGAAGGGACTTACGGCATTCGCATCGACGTGAAGGAGATCGAGGACGGCGGCACTGGCAAGGTCGGATGGGAGGAGCTGCTGAGCGCATACGCTATCGCCCGTGGTATGACTCGCTCCTCATTCGGTATGCCGGACACCTCGCGCGCGGCTCGCTACGTCCTCAAGGACTACGTCAACGCTAAGCTTCTCTACGCGCGCCCGCCACCTGGCATTGACTCGGACGAGTTCATGTCCACTTCCCACCAGCGTACCCTCGAGGCACTCGCGGCTCAGTACGCGGCCGGCCGCAAGATGCAGCCCGAGACACACGTTCGCCGCAACGCCGACACGTTCATTGCGCCCTCAGGCGCCTCCACCGCTGCGTCCGCCACCATGGAGGACGAGCGGCAGGAGCGTGAGCGCGCTCCGACCGTCAAGAGTGTGCGCCAGTCCGCCGCCACGGCGCCAATGCGTAGCGGCAAGGTGCGCGCGGCCGCACTCGACAACTACTTCTTCACCGAGTCGGGGCCTGCCCCGCGCCCCGTCGTCAAGGGCCGCTCGCAGGGCGCAGCGGACGCCAGTGAGGGCGGGCTCGGCTTCAGCCGCGCGATTATTGCGCCGCACCAGCGTCGCCTTGGGCCTGACGGTATGCCCCTGCTCGACGAAGGGCCCGTGCGAGTGCGCAACAACGGCAAGAAGCACTACAAAATCAAGGAGGGCAAGAAGCGTAGCGGGCGAGGCTACGACTAAGCCTGGTGCGTGGGACATAGACAGAGGGGCTCTGATGTGGGAGTGATTTGATCACATATGTCATTGCCGATGTTGCAGTCTGTCGTGCGGGATCGAGCCACCTGTATACGATATTCACAGACGATCGAGCTACCTGTATATCAACGACAAGAGAGAACAGCTTAGTGGAAAACTAACGGCCTGTTAACATGTCCAAGTCAGCTTGTCTGGATGGACTGTGCACGGGCAATGGTGGCGGGCGCCTCTGTGGCGTAGGAATGATCATAAGCGCAATGTGTCTGGAACATTGACAGGGTACGGCGGTGAGACAATGGTGATGGTGTTAGGCTCCTAGACTGCAAGTCCCGGCTCCGGCGTGTCGACGTTCGTACTGCGCCGAGCTGGGATCTCAACCTGCGGAAACCTGCCATTAACGAAGTAGGTCGGGGAGAGAATGTAGGGAGGGCCTTCCAGTTGGCCACAATCGTGGAGAATGTAGAGAGCAGCTTGTATTTTGCAGACACTCCCAAGTGGGGTGTTGTTTGGACAGGTTACCATATGATCAGCAGATACCTTGTGGCACCTTAGACAAATTCAAGCTGGACGAGGCCAAAAGCAGAGCTCATGTTACCGTTACCCATAAATACCACAGGTGGATAGAGTGAAGTGCAAGCCACACTTCCAGTCATGATTGGGGTCCCATGGCTTGCTACACTTTGGGCAGAGCGGGTCCTGTCGGAAGCTGCAGGCAGAGTGATGGCGATCGCGTGTACATGTCGTCTCACAATTAATCCCATGAGTTCGCGACCTCGCAGATGGCGCGAGAGGGAGTGATTTCAGAAGCCTGACAATGAGCGGCGACGGAACAAGGATCAAAGCTTGACCAGGCTTGACCTTCGGAGGCGCTTGCAGTACAAGCTAAATCTGTGCTGATGGATCTCTCATCCGAGGGCAGCTCGCGCTAGCAAATGGCGAGAGCTTTCGGCTTGACGGGAACGACTTTGTGCAATGAACGAATGGGCCGCAGCAATGACCGCCATGGGTAGTCATCACCAGCGGCCCAATACCACCAGACTGCTAACGACCCCGAGTACAGCCCGAGAAACCACAAGCGCACCCAGCGTGTCTCATCAGATCGTAGTACATTTACACACTGTTCATCTCATTGTGAGGCTTTGGTAGGTACTTGGCAGTCAGACAGGACGTCCTCGCAAATAGCCTTTTGCTTTGTACGTTCAGCTCACATTGTCTGCATTTCTATCCCACAGAAATCGCAAGGACCGTCTCTTTGGGGCGTGATACCAAGTAATTACTTTCGCCGCCGAGTTCCTAGCTGTGCCACAAACCCTGGGAACCGTCTTTGCGGTGATGCACCGCCATACATTAAGCTGTGTCGCGTCCGGGCGCCAGCGCCAACCCGCCTTCGCCCACAAAGATGAGATGGTGCCGAGCTGAGGGTCGGGCATATGAATCTACTTGGAAAATCCTGCCTGTCTCAGTAATATTATTGAAACGAGCCTGGGCTATCGCGCTGAGATTGCGCATCACACATGCAACACACAGCTCATCAGTTGCGCTGGAGCGTGCGAGAAATCAGTAGGGGCAGGTGTTCAGACGCACTCTGATCACGGATCATTATCTTTGCTTACCCCTCCAACCACAGCACAGTTGCGGAGCAGAGTGATGCCGCCAGTGCAAATGGGAATCGCGGGTCCGGCTGATTTTCAGCCAGGTACACTCGGCGGCCCGCCACCGCCGCGTCGGACTGGCATGGGGCTGGACATGATATGTCCGGTGGTCGATTGGAGGCTGTTCCGAGACAACGGAAGCCGCTCTAAAGCCTGCCCCGCCGACAGAAGGCGTCGGCCCGTCCCTTCTCGGAGACAAACAGCGCCGCACCGTCCTGCCGACCGACGACAAACCTGGGGCGAACTGGGGCACATGTCTTCTCGGAACGAAAACGAGGGTGGCAGCAAATGCTCGCATCGGAGCGGCGTTGAGCAGTTTTGTCGAGAAGCCCAGCTCCTCGCCGAAAGCGGAACGGTGTCGCGGATGTGGGATGGGAATTGGCAGTGGCGCAGAGCCGCGGCTCGACTTGATGTGCGGGAGAGCGATCTGCACGGACCGCAAGGGGCGTGCAGTTTAAGCGGCAAGTTTCGCTCTTCAACATCCCAGACTGGAAGTTGGGAACAGTGCGTGCAGAGCAGGTCAGGCTGATCATTTGGCCATGTGGGGCGGGCCAGAACGTCTGGACCAGCTAGAACAGGCATTTAGAGTTGGGCCCCAAATTCCAGTCGATGTGCTAACATCTTCTGAGCGGTGCGGGGTTCCGGGATGTGTGTTGGTTACTTGGTCAAATGAAGGGCGGACGAGGACACCCAAACCCTCGCCTCCCCTCATCGGCTGGCCAGCCACTACCATGCCGTTTTCGTCGAGCCAAGGCCGGTCTCCTAGGCTCCCTGTTGGTGCTGAGCCGGCTGCACCTCCTTCACCCTGCCCCACCTGGCCCTTCCACTCGGCGATGTTGCAAGCCGGCTCGCTGTCGCATCGCAATGGCCCAACCGACGCCCGCCCCATGGGCCGGCCGAACGAATAACCTCTGCTGCCGTAAACCATTCGTAAGACTAGGGTCGGTGTCCGTGGCTCGGCTCAGCATTTGGTCACGCTTGGTACCTTGGAATGAAATTTCTGTTCTGCCTGCCCAAATCCGCAAGTGCATTCCTCGCCGAGTCTAGAGTGATCAAATGACTCTGAGCGCGTACATGGAGTACTTGGAGTGGGAATGGGAACCGGCAATGCGAGTCGGAGGATTGAGCCGTGGCCGGCCGGTTGTGGATCGGCTGGCCGAAAGCCGTCGGGCGCGTCGGGGGCACGATAGCTAATTGTCGGCTGATGAGCTCGACGCGTACAATGAGGAACACGATGAACCGGTGGGATGCGCATTCAACCATGCGAACGGACCACTCGGTGGAGTGCTCACATGATTTGCGAGTATCGTTGGCATGGTCACTGCTCGATTATTCCGCCTGCCCATTCTCGGATGTTGGGCTGTTCAGGTTGCCACATCTGCGTCCATCCGCGGCCCCGTCACCCCGCGCCGTTACAGTCACCATGCTCGCTGACGGCTTCCATGAACCCGGACTTGGAGGTTGGTCGCAGTTTGATCAGTCGAATCGAGGGCGGGTGCACGGCCTTTGTGAGCCCGAAACAGCGCCACAGGGCAATAGCCACCGTTTCATCTGGGACCAGGGAAAAGGATCCGAGCTTCCCACGATGGGGCCCGGGCAAGCTGGGCGCCGGGAGTCCCGCCATGGCCATGCATGCTGCTTGTCTGATCGAATGCTGGATCGGTGGGAACGTCACGCCGTCACGACTGCTGTGCATGGCGGAATCCATCTACGTGGCGCGGCCATGGCCTGCATGCGGAACGGACCTGGCATGTGGCAAAAAATTCCCCTATGCCCCGTTGGCCTCGCCATGAGTTCAGCAGAAATCTCCGCGAGAGCGCACCACGATCGAGGCGCCGATGATCCCCCACCTTGCCCCACCTTGGCAGCTGCCCACTGCAACGAGCTCGTCGAGCGCTCCATCTCGGGACACCGAATAGCTGTAGCTTGGCAACCTGCGGTTGATGGCATCCGCTTGGAGATCAAGGATGGGAGTGCCACCGCGCTCCAACTGCTCTTTTCGATGGCGATTTGCCACTTGTGCTACCTGCCTGTTTGGGCCTGCACGACGGCGCCTGACTTTTCTCTATTTCTACCGAACTTTCAGAAACCACGTTATCATGCGACCATCCGGTCGTCCAAGCGAGCCGTGCGTTGCGTACATGCCGTGTATATATTACGCAGCGATGGCTTCGAAGAGACGAGGAGGGAGGACAGAGGGGGAGGTGAAGAGGACATGTCGAGCCAATGGCAAAGACACCTCACAGATCCGGCGCCGCTTGGGTTTGTGACCTCCGGTCACCAAGGAGATGCGGGGTGTCGCCGCCTGCGTCGTGCGTCGTGCGTCGTGCGTCGTGCGTTTTGTCGCCTCCGTCCGTCGTCTTTCATCCTTGGTCCTTTGACCGCTTGCCACTGACCCTCCAGCTCGCCAGCTGGCCACACCAGCTCGCGAGCAACACCGCAAGCTAGCAGGCCCTTTCTTACGCTCCAAGCTAAATGTACGGCGCTCCCGCCATGCATATCTAATATAACGGGACGGCATCGATCCGGCGGGGGTGGCGGCATACCGTGCGCCACAGCTCGCGCAGCCCCCGCCCACCAGACAGTCGACGGGCTGACCGACACGGACGAGTAGATTTGGGCTCGGTAGAAGGACGGTGGATGACGACGAGCCAAGAAATCGGGCTCGAGGCACGCTCGCTCGCAAGGGTCGCAGGATGCACGCTCGCTGGGTATTACGGTAGTCTTGCGCAGAAAGGATCTGCGGCGAATGAATGCATGCAACGAGTTCCGCGTGGCGGTTGCGGGGGCCTGGCGGGACGAGAGACCAGAGGTTAATTAGAGGGCAGAGGCAGAGGGCAGCAAGCCAAGGTTGTCACCATTCTACGCCAGATTTCTGCCAGGGGTGCACGCACGTATGTCCGCGTTTGCAGACTTGTAACGCCCGGCCCTGGCCACTCAAGCTGGCTGTGCTGTATATATGGATGGGGGCGGAGGGTGCCGTCATGTCGGCGTGGGCGGCGAGGCAGGCGTCAGCGGCGACCGAGTTGCCCTTGGATCCCAGGATCCTAGGATCCAGGACTGAATTTGTCTGAATGCTGGCTTGATTTTATGCGGGGAGGTGAGGGTTGGCCATCCCCTGCGCCACTCGGGGCCTGTCTCGATGAGAAAGAGTCTCCGGGCCGCGGGCATGGTGGATGCCAGCGTTGTCGGCGCTGCAATGCAAGCGAAAGAGAGGAGCGAGATGCGAAACGGGTGGGGCTAGCCCAAACGGGTAACGGCCTGGAGGATTGCTCCGCGCTGTTCTGCTCAAGACCGCGGCCCGCGGAATGTGGAGATGGAGATGGAGCAGTGATGCACCAACAATTCATGAGGTGTACAGCAGAGCAGAGCTGGGTGCTGATCGCCGCGTACAGTAGTACGTGCTCCTCAGAGACGGCGGCAGGTAGCGAGCAAAGCCGGTAGCCGGTGGCCGAAAACACATGAGACTAGCGAGAGTAAAAAAACAAGTTTTGACGTATTGAGGCACACGCTAGCCCTTGGATCAATTTAGCGACGAGGACGCGACTGATCTGATTGTT